ATAACTGTTTCCAATATAAGTTGAAGGATTTTCTAAAACATGTGTTTAGTGACTACTCAATAATGACATTAATCATAGACAATGTTATTTTTGCTATCCTAAACCTATCTAGCATGTAGGACCAGTGCCGACAAATACTAATCTTAAAAAAACACTAACCAGATGATGGCGAATCTTGTGCTGGAAGAGGGGGCTTTGCTGCAAGTGGAGAGTGTGTCTCTGCCAACAGCCACATTTTCCAAGTTCCAACCACTCTCTGAAGACTTCTTAGACATTTCTAATCCTAAAGCAGGTGACAATAAGAAAAGACTGAAACAAATATGGCACACAATTATCTTTTTTATTTCTCCTCTGCTTAGAAACTACCACTGCTAGACTCATACTCACACTTTGGAATAATTTATAGTTTACTTGAAGACACAGTAAAACAATAAGTTTTCAAGGTAGTGGATTCAAAATGGCTGCCGAAAATTTAACTTTTTCACATTTTTTCTAAAGAGAATATTTGAGTGCTAGTGCCACTCTGCCTTTTATGATTTTGATGCTCCCTATTAACTAAATTCCCCTAAGGAAAATACAAACATTGCGTGAAAAGTACGCACTAGCGTGACTATTGCAGAGTCAGCCATTAATTTATTTGTATGTTGCAGTATTAGAGAACTGCCTACGCAATTTCTCGTGTCTGACAACGGGAGACGTGATCGCCATAAAGTATAACTCGAAAGTGTACGAGCTATGCGTGCTGGAGACAAAGCCAGGGAATGCTGTCATTATCATTGAGTGTGATATGAATGTACGTATGGAACAAAGACTCACTGGAAATTACACTTAAAAACAAGTACACATAATTACTGCTTGGTAGAAACTGGAGCGTCAAAAATAATCAGTATTAAATGTAAAACCTGTCGTAAAATGGTTCACCCAAGTGTATGCTGCGTAATACGGTTATTTAACAAAGTATTCGTAGGGTTATTGTGCTTATTTACTTTGTTTTTCCAGCTTAATTTCCAAATGAAGGTCCTTTACCTTTACATTTTAAGGTTAAGAGATGCTTATTATCTGGTAATATCTGCGATTACATTTGTATTCCGTATTTTAGGTAGAATTCGCACCGCCTGTAGGCTACAAAGAGGACGAACGTGTATCACGAGGAGAGGAATTCTCGGAGGGTATGGAGGAGGACCCAGAAGGGATGATGCCAGAGCCGGAGGGCTTTATCGCTTTCCGCGGTGAAGGAAACCGGCTCGATGGGAAAAAGAAAAAGTTGACTAGTGAAAGTGAAAGTGAACCTCAAGCTTCGCATTCCAGACAGGTTAGAAAACTCTATGTTTCAAGGTTACAAAAGCATAGCATACTTAATGATTTTATTGCATAAACACAGTATAAATTGCATAAAATTTTACAAGCATTGAGAATCATTTGATTTTCGTTAGTATTTAAAAACAAAGAAACTAATGAAATGTGACAAGAGAACTGTTGAAAAAAACATGATTACAGTCATTAAAAAAATGTCTTGTTTGTGACGTCACTGTATTAAAAATATATATATTAGACAACATCACATACGTTGTTCTGATCCCAAAGTAAGTACTTAAAGCTCTTGTGTTAAGGCGACTGACCGGATCATTTCGGCGTAACGTAACATTCGCGGCGAGCATGTTACGTTATGGCTTAGCCGACTGACCAGTATCAATTCTCGTGTCGAACTCTGCGCTCGGTCGTACTCCTCATTCGCAGTCGGATGACAGAAGTCGTGATTGGGAGGGGTCCCATAAAATTGTACATTCTTTGTTACTACATTGTTTAAGAAAAACAGGCGATGACGCTCGATATATAATATGGACTCCCGACAATGCGCTCGCGAGGATTGTCTGAGCTATACTGACCTAAATTAAAGCGTAAGGTAACACCCAAAGGAAAAAACGAATGCTCGCGTTATGTTACGCTGAAATGATCCAGTCAGTCGCCGCCTTTATAGAAATCGGAAACAACAACGGTATCACAAATACAGACCCGACACTATATAGAAAAGTTAGTCCGGGGTTTGAACCTCAGAAATAGCGACACCATGAAAACGGGTGTGCAAGCCACTCGACCACGTAGGTCGTGTTATAGTGACTTGCAAGCTTGCAAGTGACAGAGCACTCCTACAACTTATTTTTTTGGTGGTCACTTTCAATCGTTCAAACAAACACGCAACAAATCGTTAGGCTACCGAGTAGATCGTGTAATGATTTGATGATGAACTTGTCTATATTTACTACATTTTCAACCACTTCTATTTACAGCCCTACGTCCGCGGCATCCCAGACTACAACTACCAAATAGGAACTCTAAGATTTATACGCAACTACCGTTCGGCCAACGCAAAGGAAGAGATACCTACAGAGCCTTTTGAAGCCTTTAAAGGCGAAGGATTCACGTTACGTAGCGCTAAGTCCAAGTAGTATAATTACATAATTTTCAGACTCACTAGTTAAATATGGACACTTCTTCAATTTAAAATAAATTGAACTGGGCTGTTTTAAGAATTCATCTTAGACTGGTTAATACAATGTTAGATAATTGGCTACTTCATTGATTTGTATATATCCAGTTTAAGGTGAGCTACTGCTTTCACACTTCCATATTTAACTCTTCAGTCTATATGTTAGATTTTATACAACAATTGCCGTAAAATTATTTGTTATTTTCTGAAATGATTTGTTTCGCGTTTTAACATGTTTAAAATATGATTTAAAAGAAAGAACTGGAAATAGCAACGTCGCGGCCGGGTCGCTCAATATACCTAGACTTTAAGTATACAAGCGATTCCATGCTGAACATTTTGCCAAAATAAGCATCTTAACCTTAGTAATTTAACATACAATTGAATATTGTGTTCTATTTCGATGTGTGAGTTCAAAGGGACTATCTTATTTAGGTTTATAAAAATTTTAACTAATTTGACAGATCTTTATACTTTCTACGTTTTCACATTAGACAACTCGACACCATGAACCGAACTAAGATTCTTGTCATCATGCACATATGGCGCTGTAGTGTAAAACCACAGCCTCGTTATCATTTTCATCTCTTTCATTACGCGTTACTTAAAGGTACCGGTACTCAATAGCGGTTCCCGCAACGTTGCCAGTCTGCTATATCCGGCTGAGGCTTTTAAACATGTTGGTTATTTAATTGCATTTGAATAATTGAAACATAAAATACCGGTACCGTAGTAAGATCAATGGTACTAGTTCCTGAAAATACCTATATTCGATAACTGTACAGTCAAAACATTAAATGTTTAAACAAATTTTGTTTACACGTCATTTCGGTATCGTCGTGTGTGAAAACATGCAATGTCATCTCTTTCAATAATATTACCTCAAAAGGGATACGAATATTTTAGGTCTATCAAATGGAATCGGAATCGTCACCACAGTCTATCCTTTTTACTGTCTCTAGTTCAATAGAGCAACCTAATTTTTCAACTGTCATACAACTTTTTTAACTGTATTTACAAATATTATTCAAATTTAACATCCATAATTATAGTAAGACCTTAAAACTGTGGTATTTTTTTTATTAAAGCCCTGTTCAAATCTGCACACATAATCGATATATTTAAGATCCAAACGCATCAGCGGTTTGCTGCTCGGTACAGTGGTGGCATGGGCAACTCTGTCGCGATCGTCAAACGGAGACTGATAAGAAAAATGAAATTTTTAGACAATTGTGTCTGTAGTACACAGCCGCTATAGCGTAATTAAGATAGCGTAACTACGTGTAGCGCAGCGGGACTGCGTTTGGACCTTAAAATCGCGCACAAAAGGACGAATCTCGCTCGAATTGTCTCGCATGAACATTGAATCCAGAAAACGGTCTCTGAATCTGCACTCATATAAAAAATCTCAACTAGACCGCTACTAAAACGCGCTAGCTGCTCACGAGACAGACGCCCCGCACACATGCACCTGGGGCAGACAAACATGTCCATCTCTGCAGCTAACCACAAACCCCAGCGAGTCCATAGCCAAATCCGGGTCCGCCAGAGAAGCCCGCAAACGCGTATCACTGGCGGAGGGCTTGGCCCGGACGCCCGCTGTAACCTGGTCTTGTCGTCGAGCCCGTAGTCTCTCCGGAAAACCCTATCTCTCGGGTCATTAGATAGGGACAACGACTGACAGTCAGTGCAAAAACAAATATACGCTATTAGATAGATCGGAAACTATTTGTTTTACAGATGAAACGGATATCCGGTAACTATCAGGTAGTAAACGGCCATTTCAATGGCTTCATAGTACGGTTCCTTGTCAATAAAGCTAAACGCTAATTGCTGCTGGGAAAATCGTTACAAATTCTAACGTTAAAATAGTTCAATTTGTGCTATTGATAACGCTATCACTTCTCATATCGATATCTCGTAAAATTAACAACAAAAATTAACGCTGGTAAAAAATAGCGGAAGACATTTTTAGTTACGGTATTATCCTTGATTTCCTACTGCAACGTTGGCTTTTGCCCAGCATTTGTAATATTTTAAATAATTAGATATTAAAATAATTTGCGCAATGTAATGTAAAATTATTATTTGGGAAAAAATTAAATTTGAAATTATTTGTGAATTTTGTAATATATACTTTTGTGAAATAAATTATTCAGATCAATTTTCGGCTTTGTTTTCATTTTTCACGTATATTACTGCGAAGCTATAATGTATGAGTGGATTGCAGAAATTCATAAAGTATGCTTTAACTTCAATGTGTTCAATGTGATCAACTAACAAGAAGAGCGACCGCGTAAAAGATTTGACAATTTTGTAAATTGCTCACGCGCCTAGCGGTCACAAGAAGTAACATTTTTGTTGAAAAGTCACTGTAAACTCATGGTAGTATGACTTCATTCCCACTAGTTCTATTGAGTAATTCTATTAAAGAACTACTGGGACTTTTTTTCTCGTTGGTATATTGCAATAAGTAATAGGAACTATAGGGAAAAATCATTTCCCAGTAGTTACATTGACTTTATTCTATTATTATCCCGAAAATGATTTTATCGTTAATGTACGGTTGAAGAATATATTTATACAACTTATACATATAATATTTAACGTAAACTTGACAAATTCAATTAAAAAGAATTTAAAAAATTATCAAACATTGTAAACTTGCTTATTTAAATTTAAAAAATAATGATTATTAGAAACTTGACAAAATAAAATTAAAGATTATAAAAAAATGCTCAAAATTTGTAAACTTGACAAGTTAAAATAAAAAAAAAAGATTGTGAAGTTGACAAAATAAATGAAAAAAATAATCAAAAAAGGTCAGTGTCAAAAAATCAAAAATTGTAAACAACGAATTAAAAATGAACTGATAATGATGATCGTAAATATCGAGTTCTTAGTGGGAACGAAGGGGACTGGGGTCTGTAAGAGTATATACCCATAGGGTTCATGGTCTCATACAAATAAACAAAACTACTTTCTTGTAAATGGTCTGCGCCATTGCAGTTTCATCTCCGGGGAAATCTGTATTCGAGAAAGTTGGGAACCACTGCTTTATACGTGGGGCGCACTAAGTTTCCGGAATGAGTAAGAAAAATATACTATAAATGGTTAGAAATGAATTTATTGTTTCTCAGAATATTCTCAATTAGCGTTAATGCATTTTTTCATACGAATGAACTTATTTTGAAAACATTTATGCCACACCTCCGTTACAATCTCTGAAACATTTTTGATACTCTTCGACAGCCTCTTCAGGTGTTGAAAATCGTTGACCGCGTAACTGGTTCTTAATTTTTTGAAATAAATAAAAGTCACAAGGTGCCAGGTCGGGTCTGTACGCGGAATGGTTCATAAGGTCATCGTTGTTCACCTTCAAAAATTCATTTGTCTATCTGGCCGTGTGAGAACTGGCATTATCGTGGTGCAAGATGATACAGCGTTCACGGTTATTTTTACGGAGTTTATCAATAACTTTCGACAAACAAATGGTCGTGTACCAATTACTATTCACGGTACAACGATTCTCCAAAGCAATAGTAGCCACATGTCCAGTTTTATTTAAAAAAGAAGCAATATTCCGCTTAGAGGCACTTTGCACGCAAGCTTTAGTTGGTTTCGGCTCATCTCGAAAGACCCATTCGCTCGATTGCTGCTTTGTTTTGGAATCACTATAAATCCATGTTTCGTCACCTGTTACTATGTCCCACACCAAATTTGACGCCCCTTCGTTGAATCTGGTAAGCATGGCATTAAACCAACTGACGCAAACCGTTTTTTGAGCCTCAGTCAAATTGTGTGGAATCCACCGAGAGCACAGCTTTTTCACTTCCAAATGTTTATGTAGTATTGATTGTATTTGACTCATGCCTATGCCTAACGATGCTCGAATCTCATGGTATGTCACATGCCTGTCTGTTTTGATCATACGGCGCACAGCATCGATGTTTTTGTTGTTTACAGCGGTGAACGGGCGACTATCACGAAATTCGTCACTGAGATTCACACGACCGCGTTTGAATTCTGCAAACCAGCTATAAATTGTCGTCTTGCATGGTGCTTCATCACTAAAAGCAGTTTGAAGCCGAGGGAAGCTCCGCTGAGCTGTTACATTCCACTTAATTAAGTAGTAGAAAATCATACTACGAAAATTTTCCATTTAGAAAATCATACTACGAATCCATGATGATGTAGACAACCAATTTCTAAAATGACGCCACAATGTAAAAACAAATGACAGTCAGATGAAACAAACTGTATTCTACAGCCAAAGAGTTCCATTTTCAAATGTTGTAATTACTTTTTATATATTGTTAATGTAAGTGGCTAGTTCCGGAAACTTATAGTGCGCCTGTACTATACCATCTTAAGCTGACTGCACCCAACACATTTTGTTCATTGGTCAAAAGTTAATCAAGTTATAAGTAACCTGTATCTGCCTCCTCTCAAGTCAAAATAAAAAAACCTATTATAATATAAAAGAATGAAAAAATGTTCTTAGCTCCAAATATTTCTGCTACAAAAAATAAAACTATTACGCAGGTTACTAGAAGACAGCCAACTTACGCATTAAATAAAATTTAATCTATACCTATATTAAAAGATTTAAAATGTTAGGCTTGCATACTTGAGGAATGTAGGTTAATCTTTTCAAAACCACCAAAACAATATTTTATTATTTCTTTGAACAAATTTTGTCTTCCAAATAACCTGTGAAAGTAATAACAAATGTATCAAAGACGTTGGTTTTCTAAGCTTAAGGAATAAGTAACATAATTCTTGATTCAATTGCTTACATTTTATAATATAAATATTTACTGTAGACATGACTCATAATTTTGCGAAGACAACATTGGCGTCAAGACCGAAATAACTACTTTGCTGCAAAGAGAATTTAAGCACTACGTTTACTTTGCTGTATAAAGCCCACAACTATATTCCAACTTAGATAAGTTTGGTGTTGTACTCTTTTTCATCTTTCAATTATTGACACATCTTTGCAGAGTTATTTAACAGTGGCGAAGGGTGGATATTTGCAGAAGGTAAACCGATGTAGAAGGTACACAGCAAATGCTGCAATGGAAGACATTAACTATCTTAAAATTAAACGCTTATAGAAGTGCTGCAGTGGCGCTGCAGCCTCACCATTACTAATTCTCATACAGTATATCGAATGTCGAAGCGAAGTTGCAGCACCACTACTGTGACACGCGCGCACAATAGTGAACTAAAAATTACTGAAGCGCTAAAGACGCGCAGCTATGGCATAGTTACGCCACTGCAGCGCTTCTACACTAAATTTCTAATCGGAAATGTGTAATATAGACATTTCACCACTGTTATTTAACCATTTTATAGGGTTCACTTTCCAATGTCAAATTTTACAAACATTGACTACAATGTCCACAATAGAATCAAGTTTTTTACTATTAATCTTTATTATTTTCTAAGTTCTAGCATTAAATTGCATAAAATAATAATTTTATTTGTACGCCCTCATAGATTAGAGAGAAAATACTGATTCTGAAAAAATTATTTGTTCATAAATTTTTAACATCTAACATATTCACACTTATGGATATTACAAAGGTGGCGCCAGTAAAAACTTTTAATATAAATGACATTAGTAATATTATGTTGAAGGTCTAATCTAACTGGTGAAGCTGTATGGCATGAGATAAATAAATAAGAATGCCTGGAGTAGGACATACATTAAATTGATGATGGCATAAGGAAGGACAAGAAACATTTTGCTGGGGAGTGTGCATTTGTTTATCCATTTAACAGTTGACATAACTATTCCTACAGTTAGGTGTCACTTACAGTTTTATACAAAATTAGTTATTGTTGCTTAATTTTTTTATATAACATTACAGAACTAGAAATTGTATGATGTGATGCGAAAATTATATTGAAGGTAATAAGGTAAGTAAGCTATGTAAGGTCTTCTTAAAAAAAGTTGATTAGATTGTTTCTTTGAATGATTTGTGCTGTAAAAATTAAAATTAAATATGTTTTCAATTTATTCTTGTGTATTTCATCGTTCTAAAAGAACTCAACTTACAACTATTGAAGTTTAATATGTAAATTACACAAATACCTTAAAATAATTTAACAAAGTTTTGGAAAGTAAGTAGTTTTTAGCTCTTTAAACAAAACTATTGTTAGGGATTAGGTGCAGTGGGCAATATTTTAAATCTGAAAATTGTTACAAAGTTGTTTATTAACCATTCAGCCTTTTAGAATGTAATGTGAATTTTTAGGTACTTAAATAAAGGTGCTTAGATGAATTCAAGTCTTAAACAAGTGACAAAAGTGTCATTCTATTAAAAATTAAATAACTGTTATTGTTTAATATTTATATTTTAATCAAATTTCATCTACCAATATGTAAGTAACCAAAGTTACATAACATATTATGGAATAACACAAAAGTTCTTGGTCAAGTCCCTTTTTTACTGGCAGTAATTTGTTTATGCCATGAATTTTCAATAGGACCCATTCTGGTGTTCAGATATACTATTGTAACACCTGACATTATTTACAAATATGTGCACTGTAACATCAACAAAGGCTGTATATACTTTCTCATGTGCCCAGCTATCCCTATCCCAACCATTGGCAGTATGTGTTTAGAATCTCTTCAAAAACTCTTCAGAGCAAATTCTAGCACGCGCATTTACAGCCAGCTTCATTTCACTGATCTCCTTATCAATTTCCTCCATAAAATATATAACGAAATCAACCAATTTGTGCTTATACATTTGTTCAGTGTGAAAATTAGTTATCAGGAAACTGATATGATATCCGTCCACCGGTTTCCGCCTCAGTACGATGAAATTCTCAGCCCGCATCATCATGAAACGCATGAACTTTTTACACAAGATTTTCTCGATCTCATCCGCTTGTTTGATCATTATGCTTACTCTTATCGAGTTTATAGATGACTCAATTAACACTTTCTCGTTGGCATTACGTGAAATTACCACTGGATTCAACAGCAACTCCTCGCTTGTTCTAACCTCCACCTCCGGTTTGTTGTATCTTTCCACTACTTGTGAAGAGAAATGTTCTAAACACATAGCGGCTGTGAGCGTATGTCGTACCGCAGTTAAATAAGGCTTCAATGTTGCCGACATTTTTATATTTTTTCAAAATAATTGATTCACAGCACCACACCTAATTATTTTGACTTGACATAATGCACGGTCTAATCACTAGGAAGATTTTTGCTTTGTATGGCCTATGTATATGGAAGCATAGTTATGTCGTTACTCAATAGATGGCGATAGCATCTCCTTTGATGGGCCATACAATTTTTATAAAATTTTTCAGAACTCAAAACATACTTTCTAAAGGCAGGAATTTACTTCAAACATATATTTTTTAAAACATTGTAAATAATTTGCATTAAAACAAAGAATTAGATTAAATTATTGCAACACAAAATGAAATGGTGGTAATCTAATAAGTTTCACTTGACGCATATACTTTGTTTTTCATTACAATCGTTATCATTTGTATGATGAATATTACCACTATTACAATGGAAAAATCACAATGGATATAATTATTTTGATAACATCGGACCCATTGGAGCTTAGAATATCATAATAATAAAATCATAATAATATTCAAAATAAAGCTTAAATGAAAGCAAACAATATTTTGCTTGGAACGGAAAGTAATCTTAACTGTCAAACTAACTGTCATGTCATTGTCATTTTGTGGTAATTTTTTACAACAATGGCCGGCTTTTGTAGTTCCTGTTTTTAATTGCGTGTTATTTTTAAGGTGATTTTTAAACAACAACAGCGATGGCAATCCATATTTCAATTCGCTTACTCCATCTCCGCGCGTCATCGAGTGTGGTTCGGAATTCTTTACTTTGTTTACGACTACTGAGCTGTGTTTTTGGATTCTTGCGTCTGTGTTTAAAATTGTTGACCTCTGCTTTCTCCTTTTGGACTCCCACTGCTATTTTGTTGACCTCGGCTTATTTGAAATACGGACTACGATTTGCTACAATGACTTCGGAAAAAAAATGCTGTGTTCCGGACTGTGGTAAGTTTACTCTTTTTCTTTAGTACCTGTAGTCAGTCCACTCTATTGTCATGTCTCTTATTATCATTTTTGTGAACATCTAAGTGTCTTCTTCATCATAATGAAAACTAAATAGACAGGCCTTCTCAGGTAATAATAATCTATTCAATTTAAAGAAATCTATGTCCAATTGGCTTCTTCCTATACACCGGCTTATTCATAATTGGTAGAATCCCTTCCTTTTGTGCTCTAGTTTTGAATTCCGAGATAGACACTGAGTTGACACTGTTAAGTAAATAGTATGAATATCTTGTTTCAGGTTCGGAAAAGGAAATTCTTCACAAATTTCCTAACCCTGATAAAGACCCAGAACGTTTTCGGACCTGGCTTTACAATGTTGGCGGTGATGTAATAGCTTTAGAAAATAGTGTTATTTTCAAGCGTCGCCGTGTATGTCACTTGCATTTTGAAAGCCGCTTCCATACTAGAAGTAAATTCCTGAGTGACAATGCTATACCTACACTCTGCTTGTCAGGTATGCAAAAATTATGTATTCATTTTAACTTAAAAGGTATGTGTACTATTTGGAAAGCTCACAAATAAAAGGAATGCATCTATGCATAATCAACGTATAATGCCGACTGGCGGTCATGCCAGGTGTACCAACTAATCATAATTAAACATTTATATTACAGTATGTTACCCTTAGCAAGTTACTTATGCCCTGTAAGGTGACAAAATTTACGAGGTACTATTACAATTGGCAAAAAAACGTGATGTTGTTTGTGTAAGGCTTTGTTTTTCATCAGACTTTTTTGTATAATTCTTTTAAGAAGAACCGCTGTTGCTCTGAAGATAGTGCATTTCAATCTCGGTCAATACCTAGTTACCCAATTTCCAACCTCTTAACAATGTAATATGGGCACAACAGCGAATTTCTTTATTGCTGTTCAAAAATAGAAGAAGATTTAAAGAATTATATTCATTATTGAAATATGTGTAAACTTACATTTTTTAACCAAAAGTAAATATGAGTGCCACTTTAAAGCTTGTTAATTGTAAAAAACTGTCAATTTTCATTTACAGGGTCCCAATTAAGAAGACCACTAATGGATGTGACGAATCAACCTGGCCCCAGTAGTGAGAATATTGCAATGCTGCGACCACAGTCAAATGTCCCAAACACATCACAGCTACAGAACAACACTTTGTGTAATCGAAGAAGTAAGTACATTGATCCAATGCACTAGAAGGAATAATTCAAAGGAACTACTGTGCAGTCACTTCATACCCACATGTCATAGTCACTTTATACAAGGCTCTATTTTATGTGTAGGGTATTTTTTGTATTTAAAGACATTACAAGATTTTCAGAATTTTCAATTATTTTCAAGATTCACTACTGTTACTCATTTTTTTTTTGTTTTTAGAAGCAGTTAAAAAGACTAGCGAACATGAAAAGGATTTGGCCAAAAAAATTGTCCAGTTAAAAAAACAAAATGACTCCTATTTGAAGAGACTCAAAAAAGCTCAGAAACTTTCCACCAACAATGCTTTCCAAAATGCATTAAAACAATTTAAGACCTTGGCTGCTATTTTCACTCTGATGCAGTTTCGACAAATAGGGAAACCAAAGATGGGAAGAAGGTTCACAAAAGAAGAAAAGATAATGGCACTAAGTGTGTACAAGGCGGGACCAAAAGCGTACAGATGGCTTAGCAAAATATTTGTCTTGCCATCACCGGTGACTCTTTCCCGTATGATATCACAAGCCAATTTGAAACCAGGTCTAAATGACAATATTTTTGAACAACTCAAAGTACAAATAAAGAAAATGAAAGAAGATGACAAGTTATGCTCATTAATCTTTGATGAGATGGCATTGACGCCACATTTTGAATACAACAGAAAAAAAGATCGCATTTCAGGATTTGTGAACCACTGTGGCGAATCAACCAAGAAAATAGCAGACCATGTTCTTGTTTTCATGATTCGGGGCATAACGAAAAACTACAAGCAGCCCTTGAGTTACTCATTTTGTGCCGGAACTACACCTAAAGATGTCTTGGCAGTTCAAATCAAGGAAATAATCAAAAAATTGCATTCAATTGGCTTTAAAGTACTAGCAACAATTTGTGATCAAGGTACTTCAAATACCAGTGCTATAAATTATCTCATTGAGGAGACAAGAAAAGAATATTTGAAGAAAAACGAGTTATTACAGGATTCAATATTTGAAATCGATGGCAAGCAAGTTATTCCGCTGTACGATGTACCACACTTATTAAAGGGACTACGAAACAACTTACTAACGAAAAATTTGAATTTCAAAATCGGAGAAGAAGAAAAAGTTGCAAAATGGGAGCATATCACTCAATTATATGCTAACAATCCCACATATAAAGGTTTAAAAATTATAAAAAACTTGACAGAAAACCATTGCAACAAGGAAAAAATCCCAAAAATGAAAGTGAAGTATGCTTCTCAAATATTCAGTCAAACAGTTGGTAAAACGATGGGATACTTAGCTGGTAAGTGAATATATAGTGAATTAAATAGTTGTGCTGCTAGTGTAAACAGTTAATTTCTTTAAATTTATCTCTCAAAGACACTCTGGGGCCCAGGTTGTAAATTGCCCTAACTGCGCGTTTCTGTACGACAAAGATTGCGTCATTACCCCAATGCAAAATGCCGTATACCATTAAACTATGAAAAAAAACCGAAGGAAACCAATCTGGCGGTTTGACGTCTGAAAGTTTTCGTATTTTTTATCGCGTACACTGCAGAGCTGAGCCGTTTTGATAACTTACTTATACGTGGACCCCCATTGCAACTTAGCATCTAACATTATACCTAGAAATACAACTATGTACAAGATTCAGTTTTTCGTTTCTAACTATAATGTTTGTAGCCATCTGTCTAACATTTGGTAATGTAAATTTCACACAATTAGTTTGGTTCTCATTAAGAAGTTATTAATTGCAAGCCAATTAGATATAGCGTTGTTCACATCGTTGCAAAATAATTGATAGTATTCATCATACATGAGTAACTTATTAATTTTATTTTAACTTTCAGAACATGGAATACTACCTGAAGAATCTACGGACACCGCAGACTTAATTATCTTCATTGACAATTTATTCGACTCACTCAATGGAAGTCAAAATAATTCGAGGAGGCGATCTGGAAAGGATTTACTTCAAAATGTAACTCCAATGTCAAAACACATTGAGGTTTGGTTACAGGCCAAAAGAGTTTTAAAATCAATGAGATTTGTGACTTCGAATGGAAACACCGGTAGTGTTCCCTCTATAAATAATTGGGGAAAAACAATTGAAAATATGCTAATTTTGCGGAACACGCTTTTTTCTAATTATAACGTCAAATCCTTTTGGTGTAGACATTTAAACCAAGATCCCTTGGAGAACTTTTTTGGCAGTGTACGTAGCCATGGAGCAAGAAATAATTCTCCAACTTGTGCTGCTTTTGAGGCAGCGTTTGCATCACTGTTAGTAAATAACATGAGTAGCAATTATAGTCCTGGCTCCAATTGTGAAAAAGATTTATGTTCAATGTTTGCGTCATTTGATGAAATATTTTTTTCAAAAAATAAGACTCCTTTGCAACATTCCCAGACGAATTTTGATGATATAATTTTAAATGAAGAGAATGATGTTATTAAAGATTTTCACATTAAACAAAACAACCCCGTAATAATGGGTCAACTCGAGTATGTAACCGGATACATGTTGCGAAAAACAAAAAAAATTGTCACAAATTGTAAAAAATGTAAAGAATGTTTATACGCCAAAGATCAATTAACAAATAAATATCTCCAGCACAGGGAATATTCAAAGAAGAAAAATTTTTTGACCTATCCAAGTGAAAATTTAACAAAATATTTTTCAGAAATCCAAGACACTCTGTGCTACATTTTAAGAAATAACAGCAACATAAACCATTTAAAAGAATACATGAAAACTGTCTTGTATGTTAATATTAATACCAATTTTTTGCAATGCCAATTTCATCAGAAAGAATTTATTGAATTTACGTTTGATTTCGCCAGCAGGTTTTTTGCATATAATTGGTGTCGAATAACCAATCAAATTTTAAATGGTACCAGCAGAGTCAGTGATTTAGATAAAGAAGACAGTATGCAGAATCTGGCTCTGCTGTACCGCAACAAAAGGCGAAGAAGTACAAATAAAACATGAGTGCTTGTCTCTAGTTCTTAGGTCTTCGCGATTGATACACATAGTGTGAAACTATTTTTCGGATTTAAATCGCGTATATTTGTTTTTCAAACAAACCGACGCTTGACAATCTCAGTCAGCCGTGATCATGGGACCTGTAAAGGTCTCGCTTTACAGGTCCCATGGTCACGGCTGACTGAGATTGTCAAGGCATCAACTTGTTAAGTTCAATATTATTGCAAACTACCTTATTTTTTTGCTATAATTACAATAATTGTGAATTAGTTACCTTACTTTGAATTTTCTAAAGAAACACTTCAATTTACGCTATATCTTTTTACAAAGTCAAAGAATCATTAATTCCAAAGGTAAAGTTAATTTACACTCGAAAACTTAATTTTTTTAAGCTACTGCTCGTTCACTATGCTGCCTTCCCTGAGAAGAACGAGCCAGAAATTCTAGGGATTGCTCTTTTTAAATATACTTAAGTGCTATGTAATACACTTTGAACCAAATTTGTTAAAAAAATTTGAAGCCTACATCGAAAGGAATTGACATGTAATCTTTCCGTCTTTACTAAATTAATTTGTAGATGAATTACGAGGCTATTTATAATTCAATTTATTTATTTCTTTGTGAGGTTAGAAAAGGTGTTACAAAAGTAGCAACCGAAATGACAATTGAACTCCATTTAAATGGAGGATACATATTTCACCTACTGTTTATGTATACTCAACTTTACTATAATTACCTATACACAGTTTGTGACCCTAAAAATAAGTACACTTTGTTTTTATTTATAAATGTTTTTCAAAGCTATAGAAATATTTGCTCATTTCAAATACAAATATGTTCATTATTCTTGAAATTTGCATATTTCGAATTAAAATTACAAATATTTTTTTTGATCTTCGAAAGTTATTTACAAAAATCAAACAATACACCTTAAGAATTTCTCTGGCGTGTCAAAACTGTCAAAGCATATAATATTTTAATATTATTGAGTGATGTTTGTATAATTGTTTTATATTTCATTACATTTGTTTTTGTCATTTGAAAGTTGAAGTTGATTGAGTAAATGTAGGAAAAAATAAATACATGATTTAGATACAAAAATTGTTTCATTTTGAACTATTGATTGCTAAATTTAATATCCATTAAAAAATAAAACCCCTAGGAACCCAGTACAAAGAATGAAAAATAGTATAGATATGTGTATGTACAAGGAAACCATAGTTCCATCGCTAGACACTAGATGGCGTTTAGATACTACATGAGCTGATAACTCTATACCTAGATATACAATGTACTCTTTGACATAATGGTTTCCCTTCCCGTCACGTCAACGTCAGAATTTGTGTGACATTTTTATTTATTTATTGAGGCTTTGGCTAAACCATAAGTCTGAACAAGAATTATTAAAAATATGTACGTAATATAGAGCTTTAAATGTATAGAAGCATATCATATCATATTTTTCATTAATTCACTAACTAGAGTAATATTCATTGACCTACCAATAAATGGAAGTCGGGTTCGCGCTAAAAAGTGTCCGCACCTTTAGGGCGTTAAAATCGCATACAGAGCGTCAATCGCGCAACAGTTCTCGTTTGTTCGACTGACAGCGCGGTTGTCAATCATGCAGTACCAAAAATAATAACTTGTAAAAATTACTGCAGAAGTGTAAAAACAGGATTTTGTATCATATTTTCACTAAACGAATATATTGTATTATCATAGTTATCATTTAAAAGTGTTATTTTGAATAGTTTTATAATATTTCATTTATATATAAATGAATCGTAAATATAAATGACAAAGGCACACAAAATAATCAAATAGCTAACGGTCCTTTTTCTACACATTGCATGCGCAAAAGATGGAAAAAGACCCATTACCTCACTTTCAAGAAGCTTATATAAACTTCTTGGTCATTTTCAATTGTTCGAACCACAAGCGATTGAAATATTTAGAACAAAGAAACTAAAGAGTCGCTTTGATTTTAACCATATTTTTAAAATGATTTTTTTATTAAACGTTAGCATTTACTAACAAAATATTGTTGGACTCATTTTACGGCTTGGGATTACCTTTCAGAAGACAGAAAATACATTTGCCCGAAATAACATTAGCTCGAATTTTCATAACGTCAAATGTGTTTTTTAGGAAGATTACGAAACAAAAGCTACTCATTTTGGCTTTGTGAAAAGCATCAAAATTACTCGAAAGCGTAACGGTTTTATTATAAATCAGTTTTCAGAATTATGGATATTTAAGTTTACATTTCATTGGAATATGGGTACATTTCTTATAGTACACGCTTATTTTTACATTTGTAGTAATATTTGTATGTATGTATCTGACCAACTCTTTATTATAATCCTTAAGTGAATTTGTACAAAATTCGACATAATAATATATATAAAAATTCATTAATATTTACGAGAAAGGCCATTACTTTTGTTCAAGTATTTTTCAGTCGAAGCTAAATATGGTCTATTTTGTTAAGTTTCCATTAGAAGCTGAATATGGTGTTTTGGAGCCCTTAAATTGTTGCAAGCAAAAGTAGGCAGTATTGCAATGACGTTACAATTTAAATTAAATGTTTTAGTTTTTTATATTTCGTTACATGTCACTACGTTTGTGTAGGTTAACTTCGGACATTTTTTTGTGGTTCTTGTATTAGACCCGATGTCCATTTATTGGTAGGTCAATGGTAATATTGAAGATTTATTTAAAAAATATATTAAAAGCCCTTCAAATGTTATATTTTGGACATGTACTTTTAAATAAGGTAACCAAGGTATTTGAAATTGCGTGTCCAAGTTGGTTATCATTATTTAGTTAGTAATTAGATATATTCACTACTTACGTAATATTTATCGGCAATACGAATTGAAAATTTTAGAATCTTTGTCTACGACGTCATGGCGCCTCATTATATTGATATAATAAATCTGTATTTTTTATACATACATAACATATATTACTCTGCAGTACATAAATGAAAGAAACAATAACTGAATGAGTCCCAGACATAAGTTTTTTTGCTTACTTCGTTTCATCTTTCGGAAAATGATGATAAACAACGACCATTATAAAAGTAACGTAAAATGATGTTTTATATTAACGTACAAGTTTCGTAATGAATAAATGAAAACTATATTCAAATATCAAAGCCGTCTTCGCACGAAAACGGCTCGCCGGCAGCCTTGTTGTCGTTCAGATACGTAGTATCTCTTATTAGTTTGTGTCGTTCAGCCCGTTCAGCCAATGTGAACGGCAATGGGCGTGGTGCGGTATTCAAAGCCAGAGAGGAGCGGAGAATGTCCGTTCTGTTTACTTTTTGTTCTCTGCTAGCACTGTCAGCGCTATGATACAATATTTTGTTCTTGGCTTAACCGGGCGTGGACTATTTGGATTTTTGAATCTTTTTTTTCTTATTTCTCTTGGCTTTTCGTCGTTTGATTTTTAGTCACTATACAGGTGTTTTGACTGGCATATTTATAAAACGGGGAAACTGATAAGTTGCGCCAACTTTTGTAAGAAGTTGCCATGGTAGTCTAGGTAGGTACGTACATACAATTTACGTACGTACAATTTTTTTTACAGTATGGGGTGTCAAAGTTACCTTGAAAAAAAAATCTGCTAAAAATGTCATGAAAAGAATTAAATAATTTTTTTTTGTGCTGAAACTTTAACAATTCGGGTTTTCTTTGGCATTGTGTTCATTAGCTGGGCTATTTACGTTACTGTTACAAAAACTAGAACATCAAAATTAGCAAATTTCTTATTGTAGTACTTAAATGGTGGTCGTACATTTTCAACATTTTTCATTAAAATGCTTAAATCCATTGACTTACAAACTTATATCACAAAAAAACATGACTCCGATTTTTTAAATATATATTTTAAATAGATATTTTTTCTGGGTTATTACAAACTAAACAACATGCTGTTCTCAGGTTATCATTGAGTTTTGGGATATCCTGTATAATTTATAATATGATGAATGTTGCATTTTATTTTTAAGTAAGTACCTATTAGGAATGAAACTTTACCAATATTACTTAGATATCTATTTACCTGAAGAAATATTATTTAATGCTATAAACATTTGGAATCAGTTTATTTTCTAGTAATTTATTAGTAGTATATAAAATAAATATAGTATCGGTATTGAGGGATTGCAGGACTAATTACTCCTGCGATTTTTAGCTGATTTTACAACATGATCATACATGATGATCATACACTACATTGACTTACAAAGTCAATGATACACTACCATTTATTTATACTATATTATAACACTTAAGTTATTTAATTGATTGATAATATAATAAGTATAATAAATTTATTTGTCATAATAATAATACAACATGCGTAGTGTACAGTAAGTAGGTATCAAAGAATCAATAGATGTGACCGCTGGTACTTAAAAAAGGAAAACCTGTGCTATAAATACCAACAAACCTTCCAATGGCGTAGTAAAATGTACAATTTATTACATTATGCAAAAATAATAATAAGAACGAGTAGTAATTTGTGGAGACAGCAAATGAGTAAAATTAAATTAAACTAAATTATATAATCTTTATAAGTAATTCTCTCGTCTCTCTCTCTCTCTCGTGTGTGTGTGCGCGTGCGCGTGCGCGTTTGTGTATGAGTGTGTGTGTTTGTGGGTGTGTATGAGTGTATGTGTGTGTGGGTGTGTGACTTGCGTGTGTGTTGGAAAAAGAGTGCGTATTTAATGTGAAAATACTTTATTGAGCAGCATGAAGAAGATTTTCTGTTTCTTCATATGTTAGTTTTAGAAGCCATTAGGTTATCATATTCTTACACTCATATTTGTTTTTTAGATGTAACGCTAAAATATTATTACTTTTATTGTATAAGAATCGTCCCAAAAAGTAACAAACTTTTGGCTGAAAGAAGTTTTGCAGATAACTCTTCGGGGAATGACATTCACACGTCTACTGTATAGCAAAGAAGTAAAGTGTATACTGGGATGGGCAGTGTGTTGTCGTAGTATAGTTTGGAGAACAAAGAGTATCTCACAATATTCATATAAAGCTCTTGTTGGAAAACGAAAAGGTTTGAACGTACATACCTTTAAAACTGCTCTCTGAGCGCGCTCGATCCTAAGCATGTAAGTTTTAGATGAACCACCCCATGATGTTATGCAGTAAACTAGTAAAGATTGACATAGTGCAAGGTACACCATTTTTAATATACGTTCTGCTACATGTCTCAGATGCTTAAAAACGTATATAAGCTTACGTATTCTGCCTGTTAGATTTTCAATGTGGGGTACAAAATTTAAATGTTCATCTAAAATCACACCCAGGTACCTGACAGTGGTAGCTGTTTCTAATTTAGGACAGTCGCAAAGAAGGTTACTATTTACAGCGTGATTATGGGTGACTAAACTGAGCTGTAACGGTTCTAATGCTTTTGGTTGATTAATACTGAATTTCAAAAACTTCGTCTTAACAACATTCAGCGACAGTAAATTATCAGTGAGCCAACTGGTTATCGAGTTAAAGCCAAGTTGTGCAGCTTGAAATGCTTGTTCAGAAGTGCGACCCGTAAAAATTAGAGCCGTGTCATCAGCAAATGCCACCAATCTTCCGTTAATTAAGTTAATGGAATACATATCATTGATATAGGCTAAGAACAAAGTTGGACCCAAAATACTCCCTTGTGGAACGCCATGCTCCACAGTAAGCTCCTGACTCAGTAAATCGCTAATTTTGACACATCGAGTACGATACCAAAGATAGCTCTCAAATAATTCCAGCGGTTTTCTCCTAATTCCAAGCTTTTCAAGTTTGGAACATAATCGGGCTGTGGAAACGTGTCAAAGGCCTTTGCTAGGTCAATAGTTATGATACCGTCAGATTATGAAAATGTGCTTAATATTCCCTGTCAGTTGAATCGTTGCCGTAGTCACCTCATTTGAAGTAGAACATTGTACCACCTCATTTTTTCAAATGAGGTACCTCCCTCAAACTCCCAAACACTACCCAACACTAAAATGCACGCTCTATCGCTCATTTAACAAAAAAATGAGAATTTTACATGTAGCAACATAGATTAACTAACTGACAAAGACAAAAATGGCGGACGTATTGTGAAGTGACGCAAGCGTAACATTTTACGGCATGCGTTTTCTCAGTAATTCTATGGTTAAAAAAGTGTTAAATCAATTTCCAACGTTACTAGTGAACACATGACCAATTAGCGAAATAGTCCATTTTATTTTCGAGCGATGGCGCGCGAGTTTGACCACCTTTTCAAACTGCTGATTATCGGTGATAGTGGTGAGTGGGCGAGGCCTGTAATTTTGCGACTTCCTAACGACTTTCCGAGCTGTTGCTCATTAAGCGGAATGTTGTTGATGTTGCAGGTGTCGGCAAGAGCTGTTTGCTGCTGCGTTTCGCGGATAACACTTTTTCTGGCAGTTACATTACAACGATAGGTGTTGACTTCAAAATTCGGACTTTAGAGATTAATGGTGAGCGAGTGAAGCTGCAGATATGGGATACGGCGGGACAGGAGCGTTTTAGAACGATTACCAGCACTTATTATAGAGGGACACACGGAGTCATCGTAGTTTACGATGTTACTAATGGAGAGTCCTTTGCCAATGTCAAAAGGTGGCTTCATGAAATTGAACAGAACTGCGATGTTGTGAACAAAGTTTTAGGTAAGTGCACATTTTTAATGCTCTGATTACCATTTTACATCATCTCTGATTACCCAACCAATTCAAACCTGACAGTAAGTTTTCGTCTTTACTATAGTTAGACAATTACGTGTTTTTCAATAATAACAAACAGTGTTATTATCTGAATAAGTGGGTGTATCTGTGTGACTGTACAGTAAATATGTAAATTGAATATTACGGTCATCTTTCCATTGATAATTCCAGTGCAAGCACAAGCATTTAGCTTGTAAAACAAAATCAGTTCAGCTTTAAATTTAGGTACCAAATAAACATTTCTGCTGCTTATGCTGACATTGCCTACATTATTATAATAGCATTGCAGAGTCTGTACCACAGTTTATGTATGATATTTTGTTACAAGATAAGGTAAATAAAAATATCAGTGTGTCAAAGGTCTCCATATGAATATTGAATGCATTTCTCAAATGAGTAACCATGTTTATGAAAACAGTGTATTCCAGTTATCTTGTATCATGGTGTATGTTTATTAATCAAAAACTTTTTCTACATTTATACTTCTAATACATTTGCTAGAACGACAACTTGTATGTTCTAAGTATTATTAGTATTGAGCCTCTTTGGATATCTGGAATTCTGGCCGGCAGTTTATTGGATGTGAATAAATTCAAAGACAAAGCAAAAATATTTATTTAATTTTAAAGTAATATTTTATGTAACTGTAACTGTAGCACAAAAGATACATACATATTCACTACTATATGGAGTCAATTATATTTACCAGTTTCAACAATTTGGGTGGCTTCATTCAGAGCCTGTGGAGCCTTTCATAACTGCAACCATAATTTAATCTCTTACAATTGCTATTAATTAAAATTTGGAGTTAATGTGTAGCCCTTTTTAGTACATAGTCTATTTTCTCAAAAATGTTTAAAATCTTCAAGTACATCTTTAAATAATTTTAAGTTCTACATACTGTCCCATATCTATAGTTCTAGTACAAGTGAGTATTGTTTATCAGGTAGAATTAATCAGTAGATTAAGAGTTTTTAATGAATACAATATCTCACTGTAATTTTTCATTTTGGCAATTTCTTCTGTTAGTAAGTTAAAAAGTACTGAATGTTCTACTCCTGAACATAAATTGTCTACGCACAAAATTTCATCCAATATGCTTCACCGATTTCAGACTGATTCAAAGCACATAAAAAATGTTATATGTCAGCCTTTTGTATTTATGTTATTTGTGGAATTTGAAATGTAACTTTGTCAAACTACTTTACATCATTCCATCATACAAACTGCTGCACATCAAGATACACATTGACGGATCTTGTTCCATTGCACTGTCGATATTCGAACAAAATTATATAGCTTGATCTGCTGTTGACTGTACAGTGAAATTATATCGACTCATCCGAAGAACAGAGTCCGATGTGATTATATAGCGAAAAGAAAATAAGCACATTACAAGAATAATTTCGTTATTCAAAGTAATAATAACGCACACACTCAACATAGCCCCGCACTAGGGAAACCCTGTGTCGCGGGTGCCATGGACACACACATAGACAACCACAAATTACACCCAAACTCACGAGAGAAATAATTGTAGGCCATACAACTATTTCTCTGGGCCCGGGAATCGAACCTGGGACCTCTGCGTGGCAGTCCGGCATGGTAACCGTTCGGCCACGGAGGCAGTTAAAGTAAGGCAAAGGTAAAGGTGTTTTGAGATTTTATATATCTTATTTCGTTTTGGAAATATAAAATCAAACAACTGTCGATCTGACATCCACAGCAAAGAAGAACAAACAAAATGTACTATGTCCTAAGAACAAGTAGTCTTGCACATAGATCTTTGTTCTGCGGATAAGTCGATATGTATAGTGTGTTTTTTAACTGGTACAGTGCGGGGAAATCTGAAACTATAGGAGATACATGGAAACTATCTTAGAAACCATTAAGTTTTTTTTGTGAAAACAATTATGGCATTATAATCAATTTTTTGGTTAAGGATGAGTTGCCCATAAACAAGAATAAAATTAATTAACATGTTTTTTAGTGCTGATCGACTCAGTTTCATGTAAGGATCATCACATTGTGGTATGGGGTGAAAAAACCTGAGACTGAAATTTAATAAAGTGTTATTAATTTTGTATGAAAAAAGCTTTTTATTAAATTTGACCAACTTCTGCTGTTCTGTTTCTTTTTTTTTAATACAATAAAACTTAACTGCCTCCATGTCCGAACGGATACCATGCCGGACTGCCTGACGCAGAGGTCCCAGGTTCGATTTCCGGGCTGGGAGAAATATTTGTATGGTCTACATTTATTTCTCTTGTGAATTTGGGTGTAATTTGTGGTTGGCTATGTGTGTGTCCATGGCACCTGCCATACAGGGTTTCCCTAGTGCGGGGCTATGTAGAGTGTGCATTATAATGAAATCATCCTTATGAGACACTGAGGCTATCAGTCTTAAAATAAAAGTTAATACATTTTATTTATTTTGTATGAAAAAGCATTTTATTAGACCAGCTTTTGATGTCCAGATTTTTTTCTTTTCATGCAACGAAATCATCGTTATAAGAAACTCAGGGTCGTATTCTAGAACCCTACTCAATGCTCAAGTCAGGATTTGAGTATGGTTTAAAGCACTTGAAATCATACTCAAGTCCCTGCCATTACGGTCGTCTTTGCAGTGCTTGAAATCATACTGAGATCCTGACTTGAACATTGAGTAGAGGCCTGGAATACGACCCCCAGAGTCGTATTCCAGAACTCTATTCAATACTCAAGTCAGGACTTGAGTATTGCAGTGAGCACTGAAAATCATACTCAAGTCCTTGCCATTAGGGTTGTAGTTCCAGTGCTTGAAATCATACTCAAGTCTGCTCAAATCCTGACTTGAGCATTGAGTAGAGTTCTAGAATACGACCCTCAGTCTATCAGCATTAAAAAAAATTTAGTCAATTTTATGCATTTTGTATGAAAAAATATTTTATGTTTGACCAACTTCTGCTGGCCCGATTTTTTTCGTTCCATACAATGAAATTATTGTTACATGAGCACAACCAGTAAAAAATATTAATCAAGTATATTCCTTTTTGTGGTGAACTCATGCTTAACCAAATTATTGATTATGCCGCAATTGTTTTCACAAAAAAGACTTAATGGTTCCTAAGACAGTTTGCTTGTATCTTCTAGGGTTTCGGATTTCCCCATACTGTCCTAGTATAAAAAGACAATATTTACATTCACCACAAAACCTTTTAAATTAAATTTGTACTTGATGACAACAATTTATTTATAGATTACATTGTTCAGTAGGAAATGAAACAGACTTTTTTGTGATTAAAGTACGGGGTGTTTGGGTTTGAGCCCAGATAATTTGTGTGATTGTCTGTAAAATACAAAAACAAAATAATTGTTCATAATTAAACATGTCACATATAATTTCCATTACAGTTGGTAACAAGAATGACTGCCCATCACGGAAAGTCGTAGTAACAGAGGACGCACAGAGGTTTGCTAACCAGATGAACATACCGTTGTTTGAAACAAGTGCAAAAGAAAATATTAATGTTGAGGAAATGTTCCTAACTATCACAAAAATGGTACGTTTAGATCACTAGAAACAGACACTAAGAACATTTAAAAGCCTATTCATAATATGGACATTGCTTGTGGGAATGTTTGACACAGGGTAGTAATTAGGTAGGTATTCTATTTTTTTTACAAAATAACCAATTAACAAAATATGGGAATTTCAGGTTCTACGATCGAAGTTGGAAATGAAGGAACGACAGAATGTAACGTCAAATGACACAGTGCATCTAAAGAAAAGTCACAAAAGCAGCAAAAAGAAGTGTTGCTAGTGGCTAAAGTGAGTGTATGTAAAGCTTACACAATGCTCAAATACAGAGAGATATGTTGCGCAACCCAGGCAAGACGGTGAGATAGATAAACAATGGTCCAATAATACATGAATTAGTTTTTAATGGTCGTGAAAGAAACATATGAAGGTCTTATACCAAGACTTAAGTTGAGAAAACGGTCCTTCAACAATACTGTAGAGTAACTGTACTAATAGAAAAATTATTGCCCACCAAACTGGCAAGGTGAAATTTAATTATTGACACTTGTACACTGGGCTCTTCCGTCGTTTTGTCTATGTGTTTTCTTAAGGTGCAGGTATTGAGCTCTATTCAAATACAAAAGAAAAGCAACCTTACATATTTGTTGAGTTCATTAGCCATAAGTAAAAAAGCTTGTCATCGTAAGAGAGCACAGCTATAGATGAGAAAACATGATAACTCAAATTATTTTTATGTCGTATCAATAGTTAACATTACAAAAGTAACACAACGCACTTTTTCTGTAGAGACATTTTAAACATAACAAACAAATTTGAAATTTTGTTGAGATTTTGGTGTTGTTGATGTAAATGTATCAAGGCTCATACTGGTTACCAAACTGACCTTCAAAATGCTAACATTGTTTCTTAAATTAGCTATTTCGTCAGGTAACTAACGCCAAGACACGGTGATTATAAGCCACAGGCCCTTATTCAGTATATTACTTTTCGAATTTAAATACTACCAAACTAACCAATACCATGTTCATTATGACCTGAATAATATTTTGAGCCTAAATGAATCCCAACAAAGTTAAAAAAGCTCTGGGTTGGACAACCTCATATTTCGAGCATGTATATGGAATAAATGACTCCAAAAATTACATTAGGATGTTACAAATGCATAGTTAAAGCCTAATAAAGGTTGACTATTCTGTTCCATACATTTTTAAACCTAAATTAAATTTAATAATTAGCAGTATAAATTCTTTGTATGAATTTGTTATGCTACCCGCGCACTAGTACGCGTTGCATTGTCATCGTCGTTATCGGACATTCGGGCGCTTATTTACCTAAACTTCACTTATATCTCCACGAAATAATAATATGTATATGTCTTTCTGAATAAAAATATATAAATCAATTTCAGTCAATCCCAGGTTCTCAGATTGAGTTCTTAATATTGTCTACTAAATAACTACAAATTATACAAAACAACATTCGTAATAATTATTTAGTAAGGAGTATAGAAGCAATGTACAATCAATTATACTTTGACGCCGAAGCGCGTGACGTGATTTGGAAAGTATGGAGATGATCACTTAAGGGATAATCAGGGGACCGAGGCACCAGTATCACTTGTATAAATACTTTTACGAAGTACCCAAGCCGTGATAATAACATTTTTACAGAGGCTAACAGTTTATAATAATAATCGGTGCAAATACCGTTTCAAAAGTAAGTTCGCATACATTAAATATTCAATAAAAAAATATTACTAGAAGTTCTGTGATGAATGAAATTATGTGCATAAATATTATTTTCCAATAACAGGACTAAAGTCATAGACATTTATATTATTTCTTCGTGAGCGGGAAAAATCTGGAAGTTTAGGTAAATAAGCGGCCGAATATCCGCTCACTGGCTATCATAAATGTGGAAGACGTTATTAAGATTTGTCCAATTGTTTTAGGTTTATAGAAGTGTGTTTCAGAATAGACATCCATGTATTCTCATTATCAAAATTTATGTGATGGAGTGTCGTGTATGATATGGGAAATGTGTATAGAATAAAGTATACCACTAATTTAAAGTTAATTTTTTCTTATTCAATTATTTAGTATTTATTGTATGGGAATTCTTGTATCATAAGAATGTGTAGAACAATGGTTGGTGTTGATTATGTTGCGTATTTTCTGTAAATTAATTTGTTTGGAATTCAAAGGTGGCAACAACTAAAAAAAATATTCACTTATGCTTCTAATAGGGGGACTTAAGTAATATTTTAAGCTTTAGGGTCAAAAAGTAGTTTTCGCTTTTAATGGCTTTTAAGTGAAAAACTTCTAAACTTAAGAACTCGTATATTGCAAAATATTGCTGCTTTACAAAACTCTAAGCCTATGCATATGTTTTCTGTATAAACAAATTTGTAAAATAAGAAACATACAATAGTGTAAAAGCAGTCCTTGACAAACTTATTTAACATGAAAAATAATTGAACTCGGTTGTAAAACCAATCGAAATCTAGCCATCCTCAATTTACTTGTATGCTGAAATGTCATTTATGTGCTAAATGAATCACTTGACCTGTTTATCGAACAGTGTACTATTAAATAGGTGAATTTTTTTTCACTTAGTATTCGTTATGACGCGAGATGGACACGGTCCATTAATAGTTACCTACATTTGCAGTACTAAAGAAGTGTACACATATCAAAGTGAAATCTCATTACCACCTTTCGAGCTCCGCTGCTTTAACAATTAATTTAAAAATTTATCATTCGTAAAATGCGCAATAAAATTAACATCATGATTATGTAACATGATAATATTATGTTTTAAAATTATTAAAAGTATTACTTTCAATAGTAAAGCATTAATAAAATGATAACTTGGGTATCTATGAATGAGAAAACTGTCACTGAGTGATTATTTGTTTGGCTTAATTGTCAAATTTTGATATGTTGAAATGGAACTTAGGTAAAGGAGTAGATATTGAACCATTCACTTTAAGCTTACAGAGCAACTATGCAGATTAATTATGGTGTTACCACACTTATCGAAACAGAATCTACTTGAAGTAGCTTTATGTACATGAATAAAAGCTCTTTAATTATGCGTTTCACGTGTATAAGTGTGGTGTAACCATAAAGTTCCCTAAACAAATTGTTTCTCAATCTACCAGTAATGACCACCTAGGGAGATCCCGATCAGGCACATGTATCCAAAATAAATTTGCATGCAGGGCTAAATAAATTGTTATAGACATCATTTACTAAATTATATACCAAGAGGCCGTAAAGATATCATTTATTTGTTAGTGGTCCAGACCACATAAATTATGATCAAAAAAGATTACTGAACTTTACAGTTCTAGATTTTCTGTGCCTGCAATGGTTCCAACCAAGCGTTCTGACTCCCACTCAATCGCGCTCAGCTACCTTTTTTAGGTCGTCAATGCAGTCACTGCTCTCACTATACTCATATATAATATACACACATAAACTAAGTTATTTGAAACCAAATGTTAAAAAAACAAATCATAAAAACATTTGTCAAAAATCCATTAATCAAACCACAACAAAAATCTTTAGTCTTGTCTTTTTCTCAAAACTGTTGACACGTTATTGCTTATCAACATCGAATTATTAGATAGCCTGTCAAATTTATAATCGTGTTTTTGAAAATTTTGTTCACCAATTAGCATTCAAAACAGTTTAATAACCGGCAGTTTGTGCAACTTGATGCGTGACTGGTACAATGGGTTTTTTAACTACATATTTGTGGTGGTACTTATAATACAATATGTATTCCTTTCTAATTTCCACTATGTAAACCTAAAAATCCAGTGTGTATTAGAACTTATGAAGTGATATCATATTTATAATTTTTATAATTTAAGTATTGGCAAAGTATAGACACAAGAGTTAGTAGTGGTAAAGGCAAAAATTCCAAATTATTTTTTTATTTATTTAACAACCTATGTTTGTCTGTATTCGTTTTACGATCTTACTCACCGAGAGCGAATCGACTTGGTTCCCATATAAAATAGGCCGTGCGCCATTATGGGAATTATGTAGCTCTTGGTGTGTGGAGTTTTTAAGTGTTGCGATTAGTCATTTGTATTATTATTCTTATTGTTTGGGTTCCATATCGAGTGCATATGTGTACTAAACATTAACATATCTTTATAATTTGTTTTCATGCAAATTTATTAAAAAACATCTTCTATTAATGTGTCTTATGATTCAATTTTACAATATAAGCAGCTTTTATTCTACAACATTTGGGAACTTCGAACATAGTTCCTTGTTTCCAGGGAAATTATTTGTTCAGGTTTTTGTTGTATTTTCAAAAGTTGTAGAAGAAGAGTTGTTTGTTTTAATGATCTCTTGATTTATTAGATTGTTAAAACACATTGATATGGAGCCCTCATGTATTCGGCTATAGGTGTTTTTTATTACTCTGTGTTGTATTCTGTCATATGTAGTCATTTCATTGCTACCAAAAACGTGGAGGATTCTTCGTAATTTAAGATGACGGTATACACAGAACACTTGTAGGCATAAACCTAATTTTCTATTGATGGAGTGGTTTATGTAAATCCTTTGACAACCCTTTTGATGGTATTATATGTACAGTCGATGACCTAAGGTACCTGGCACCATAAATCACCATTTGGTGCTGTCTAGGTAAGTGTGAAGAAAAGTGTTAAACAAACTTAACCTGTGAGCCATAAAATAATTTTCGGTACGACTTCCTTATTGCTATCATTAGTGAATGATGTCTTAAGAAACTTTGAAGTTAATTTGGTCTTCAATAACATATATGTGTACTATAGTGTGTTGATTTACATTCTCGCCATATTTAAGAAATAGAAATAATGCTAAATCACCTATAAATATAAAAAAATATATTCTGTTCAATATTCTGGCTAATTGTATCTAGTAGTTTTGTAAAATCGCCCCTAAATCGTAAATAAAAAATGAGAATTTAGGTTCTTTTTTCGAGTTATTTTTTAATGATTTGGGTTCAGTTTCGGATATAGAATGACCTCTGTAAATATGGCGAGAATGTAAATCAACACACTATAGTACACATATATGTTATTGAAGACCAAATTAACACGTTGTATGAACAGAAATTTCAACCATAAAGCTGGCAATCCTTTACGCTTTTCTGTTGAATGCGTAAAAAGTATCCTAGAACCAAAAGGTCGGCTGGGGTCCGGTATGTTAGGGCATCGGCTGTACTTTTCTCTATACGCACCTTTTCAGTACTGACGCGTGAAAGTACTACCGAACTAGTGGTAGATGGATTCTTTACGAGATAAAGAATATATTACAGAAAACAGAGAATCAGTAGTACCTAGAGGGTCTGTCTATAGAAGTACCAATAACAAATTGATTTCCAATTCCACTGTAGTCTCACACACAAGTCATACAAACCTTTTTTAAATGTATAAATCAATGCAAAGTGTTTATTTTTGTAAAAAATCATTCCGTACAGTGTTATGTACAATGTAATACGGCATTTTTATTTATGCATGTTCATCTCAGTACTCATTATTATATTTTTAAGAAATATTGTTCATACCAGCATTTTATTTGTTTTAAAATTGTAAATAGATGATATATTTTGCCCATAATAATGATGCGTTTCAATGTTACGACTTCCATGTCGATATTAAAACCTTCGCGGTTACTCTATTCACCAATGGCCTTAGCGAATGGCTGGCCTTGTTGCCGTGTCGTCAACATGACTATCAATACGCGGGGCGCGGTGCGGTATCTAAAGCTAGAGAGGGGCGGCGAGTGACCACTCTCGTTACTTTTTTATTCTCTGATTTGATAAAAGGTCAGTTATTTACTGAATTTTTTTACATGGCACCATTAAAATAACTTTCAAATCCAACTTCGGCTTCCTAGGTCAGTAGTTTTGTCCAACGATGCAGTAAAACCAATTTCGGAAACCCGGAATTCGAAAAAAGTAGTTTATTAATATGTGGTGTGGTGTAATCACTATAAAAACACACCGTGACTTTTTGTTCATAGAGCTGAAAACAGTCACAGACCAGTCAACCAATGACCCCAAGCGTGAAAATGCCATGAAATATCTGGAGATATCTATATTTGTACTTAAAGAGGAGTAAACAAATGGCATAACGAATGGCAAACAACATGCGGCAAACAACAAGGTGCTTATTATACATAACACTTTATAACAACGATAAAGAGAGGCTTATAAAAAACGCAATTTCACAAAAACTACTGAGAAATTAAACAAACAACAAGAACAAAAACAAATATACAAAAGAATAAGAATAATTTATTGCGTTACGCTATCGCTGAGACACATGTGCTTTTGTGCTTAAAAATAAAAACGCTATACAATATTATATCAATAAATTACATGTATATAATAATACAAAAGTAGGGTATCATCATCAGACACGTGATGTGTATAAGTGACGTTTGATCATTACCTGCATAATAAAAGTAAAACCATGGTATACGTAATTACAGTACTTAGAAATAATAATGGTGGCAAGAAATTTATTGTTAAGTGTACAGTGTACGCGATTTAACGAAAACTCGGATATAGAAACCGCGACCTACATTGTTTTATTTTGGCTACTTCGCACTTAATAATTTTATCGATATCGACATTATTGAAAATTCCAGCCTATACAGTAGTTCCGTGGGGATTCCCGTTATATAATTCTTTTTGTCCTGAGGAGTTCGTTTACGTCACGCTTTGACGTTTGTAAATTAAAATTTTAAGATTTGGATGTTGTTATTAAGCGAAGAATAATTATTATAATATAACCTTTTAGATCTATAATTCATTCATTGCAAAAATATTCGAATGATTCGCAATATACTCCCGGACAAATAATTGGAGCCACCTCGCATTTTTGTCGTAAAGGGCTAGAATACAAAAACAGTGTTATCATCGAAGAAAAAGTTTTCCCTCGGTTTTACAAATCCAAAGAACAAGGACTTACGGAAAAGAAGTTTAGTATGCTTGAGTCTGGCGTTAGACTATTATTTTATTTTATTTTCCATCCTCTAAGAGTCTGGCAAACGAAAGTTGAGACCAGTGTGCTAGACTTTAATGAAAGTGAGAGAGTTCCTATTCCCCAATGTCCGGCAGCAATTCCTCACACGTCGAAATACTCAAACCCCCAAATGAGTTATTTTACAACTCCATTCCCCACAACATCCCCAATAAAATTTGGTAGCCTAAAATCGCCTTTTCCTATTTTAAACAAACCCTAAATATCGCCGAGTCGCCGACCACTTTTTTAGTCGCCACGCGACCCCCCCCAAAGTAGCCTAAATGGCGAAAAATCGCCTAACCTGGCAACAGTGGTTGAGACTGAGTTTCGTAAAATTTTTTAGATGGCAATACTAAAGTCTGTTGTCAAAACTGTCAGTATGCCATTACCGATTACCGAGTTTTACTTTTTGTTCTCTGACCGAGTGCAATATTTTCGAGTTTTTTCATTGTCAACTTTATCAATCATGTATTCATGTAAATGATTAAAAGTAACGTGCGATAGTTATTTCATACTATCATTACACATTATATATAACTATAGCTACAAGGAACGACATGGAGTTGTTAAAACCACCAAATATTACTTAATTATTTTTTGGAATTCTGGATTTTCAGAAATGGTTTTACAGCATCGTAGGACAAACTATTGACATAGGAAGTCGAAGTTGGATTTTAAAATAATTCTAATGGTGCCATGTAAAAATAATCAGTAGATAACTGATAGCCTTGTTGCCGTTCCGTCAATGTGACCTTCAATATGCGTGGCGCAGTGTGGTATCTAAAGCTAGGGAGGGACTGACCAGTGACCATTCTTGTTACATTTTTGTTCTGCTTTGGTAAAAGGTTAGTTATCTACTGCATTTTTTACATGGCACCATTAGAGTTACTTTAAAATCCTACTTCGACTTTCTAGGTCATTAGTTTTATTTTGCGATGTAGTAAAACCATTTCCGGAAATCCGAATTTCCAAAACGTAATTAATTCACATTTGGTGGTTTTAACAACTATATCGCTCCTCGCAGCTATTTGTATAAATTACTATAAATGTATCTATATATCTGGAACACCTTTTCCCGACCATTGATGATTATTAAATATAAAGCGGAGCGGGAAGGTGTTTGCAAGCAGAAACAAACATATTTACATACGGTGTGTTGGACTTTTTAGGTTAGTATAACGGATTATTTTGATACTTTGTTGGTTTTGTAATTTGGATAACGTTGCATATAAAGTTTTTAAAATTTTTAATAATCTCGTCGTTTTCTTTTAGTGCAAAACTTGGAACAGTTGCTGAAATAGTACAAACTGTGGAAAAGTTTAAGGAGCTGTCACAACATGTGTTATTAAAGACCCAAAATGAATACCTGGAAGAAATTGCATCACTTACTGGTATGCAACGTGATCACACCCTTTTAAAACTGTAGTTGGTCGACTTTGAGAATATGTTGCTCACAAACATTTTAAAATAGGTATATTAATGTTCTTATTTTGATTTGCAGAAGTTCATTCAACGAGGTCTCAATAGTTAAAAGGACTAACCACGAAGGGACAGTTAATGCAGGCGTGTGGAACACTCCAGGGAAAAAGCCTCCACACAAGCCCACAGTTTCGGATCTGGATAACTTTGATATTGATGCAATTCACAACAAAGTTAATGATTTTTGCGTTGTGAAAAAAGAAATTCCAACTCTGCGAAGCCTGTTAACAGACTTGCAAGCAAGTATTGGATTTACTGGTTGCCGAGAAACTCTTAGACATATCTCATTGGCCATTGGATACGAGTTAAAAAAACTTTCCTTTTTAATTGTAAGAAATTGCTGCATGGAGGCATAGATATTTTCGCGAAATTGCAGCAAAACGTGTTGCGGGAAAACAAATTGTCTATTTAGTAGAGACATACATATGTTCACATGAACTACAAACCCAAAAAATCTTGGCAGGGGCCATCTACCAGCAGTGCAATTGAAAGTATATCATCTGGAAAAAGGTATACAATTGTGCATGCTGGACACGAGAATGGTTTTGTGCCAAATGCTCTTCTGGTTTTTAGTACGAAATCAAAATCAGTGGACTATCATCATGACATTAAGTCACAGAATTTTAATAAATGGCTTACCGAAAACTTATACCCAATTTGAATAAGCCTAGTGTAATAATTATGCATAATGCCAGTTATCACGCTGTTCGCAAGAATAAAGCCCCAACAACTGCTAATCTTAAGATTGAAATAAAAGAGTGGCTCAATGCAAACAACATTCACTTTTAAAGAGTATCATACGAGCTTTTGTGCTTAATAAATAAGCACAGTCCTGACCCTGTATAATTATGAAGCTGATGAACTTCTCAGCATAAATGGTCACGAAGTTCTACGTCTACCTCCATATCATTGCCAGTTTAACCCCATTGAGCTCATATAGAGTTTAGCAAAAGAAAGGTGGCAAAGAAGAACGATCTATCTGCAGCTGACACAGAAAAGCTTATTATTGAATGCTTTGCAAGCATAACGGCTGAGGACTGGAAAAAATGACAGATCATGTTGTTAACATAGAAAATAAATACAAAGAAAGGAACCACATAACAGAAAATGAGATGGAAAGTATTATGATAAATGTGGAAGAAAGCCAAGCAAGTGCTTCTGAAGAATCGTTACTGGCTGAGTTTTTCGACAGTGACTTCGATTATGATTCTTAAATAAATAAATGAATGTTTCTTCACACATTTCTTTTATTTATATGCATAGATATGTCTCAAGGTTATTGTCACACGCTTGGGATTATAATTTGACTAGAGGTAATGTAATTGCACGGACATTAGTGAATTGTCCCCATTTAATACAAAATCACGAGACATTGCAATTTCACTAAGCATATTCAGTGACATTGTAACTACCCTAGTTAAATTATCAATTTAACCAGGTTAATTATAATGTCACTAAATATTACCTTTTCAATACTCAAGCTTTTAACGTTTTACAAATAAACGGCGTTATCGTTTAGTAAAATTGTCTAAACACCATCTATCCACAATGTCACTGAATACATTTAGGGATATTATGGTGTAACTAAGATTGTCCCGTGATTGTATGAAAGGGAGACGATTGACAAAAGTCCTTGCAATTAAAAAATCACTAGTAAAATTACGATATCACGGCTTTTACAATGTACCGGCGATTACCATAGTAGTATCAATTTATATAAATTCCATCGATAAGTACCGTCCCGTCGATGATTCCGCCTGTGTAGTTTTTGTTTGCGTTTTCATTTTTGGCAAGAAAATATTACGTGTCACAGAAAGGATCCATGCATGTTCCTTTACATGGGGTAGTGAATATCTGTGCAAGTATCAAGTGAGTTTTTTCGCAGTACAAACAGGGTTGCAACACGCAGATTTTTTGAATTTGCCGCTGTTTCTCAGTCTCAACTTTCGTTTGCCAGACTTTAGTTTCAAAGTGTAATAGTTTTTGATCAATCAAACATCGTCTAAGCTAGGCAATTAATACTGAAAATGCGTGGTGGCTCGGATTATGTGTCCAGAAGAGTATTTTCTATGCAATCGAAAAATTGAATCAATGTGATCATTGTGAAAAAATATGTTAAAGTAGAAAACTAGTAATTAATTCAAAAAAATATACTTGTATATGGAACGTAATTCCATACTTGGCTAAAATGGATATAACAGATTTCTTTGTTACAAGTTTGTACAGCGCAAGACGGCTTATTTCGTGGTGCACTTGACACGGTGAATTGGATAGATCTCTTAATAATTTATGGGTCGTATTCCACAACTCTTTTCAACGCTCAAGTCACGACTTGAGTATGATTTCAAGCACTAGAAATCATACTCAAGTCCTTGCCATTAGGGTCGTATTTCCAGTGCTTGAAATCATACTCACTAACTTCTCACAAGTCCTGAATTGAGCATTAAGTAGAGTTCTGGAATACGACCATAGGGTCGTATTCCAGAACTCTACTCAATGCTCAAACATAGGTTTGATAGTGGTAATGAGAAAACAACTGATTCAAAAGTAGTTTTACTACTTTAAATAAATGGTGCCGCCCGTGTTGTATACTATAGTCTTGTTCGCATTGATAATTTGTAGGACTATATAGAGAGACACTTTCCAGCAACAATTTGCAACACTTAAATTATAATTAATTTATTATTAAATAATTATAATTAGACATCGTGTATTGTGTATGTGTATCTAAAGTGCAGACACAATATTTTTTTATTGCTGATTAATCACCAGTCAGCTGCTGAATAGACTTGAGGATGGAAATGAATAGAGAGAAACGGACAACTCGTCCGCTACAAAATGACAGCTGTCAAAAAATAGGCATATGACATTGACATTAGGAATAGTAACTCTGCGTCAAAGAATACACTCTGCGCGCATATTGGTGTAGGTTTTGTTAGAATAGAATTATTCTAGAAAATCATACATTATGTGGTCGAAACTAAATAGAGCTCTTTTCAAGCGCACCTCCACCTTTTTGGTGGTTATAGCTGGGGGCGCTTTTGTCTTCGAAAGAACCCTCGACTTGGGTGCCCAAGCTATTTTCGAGTCATTGAATAAGGGAGTGAGTATTTCTTATTATGTAATTATTATTTTGCCTTGCTGATTTTATTTGCCTTTAAATATAGAGGGAAGTTAGTATATTGGTATTTTTTACGGTAATGAGATTACATATTACACTACAAAGTTACGGCGTCGTTTTAACATAATTGTGGTAGAATTAACTCTGCGAGGTTTATAGTGGTGTTTCTAGATTATAATAATTGTGCCTAATTATAAAGATATAGTTGTAAGAAATGAGTTCCACTCTAATACCTATCTTCAAAGGGAAATGGCCTGCTTTGTGGCATTTCTATGCACAGCACTTCTGTCATTGTACTATGGGTTTGATTAGTTCAGTAAAATTTTATTTAGATATTCTTTTGTAAGACTTTTTTCATCTAGTGAGCATAATATTAAAGCTCTATAGCTAATTACTTTTTTCTTTCAGAAATTGTGGAAGGACATCAAACATAAATATGAGCAACCGGCAGAGTAAAAATGTAGATTCATAATTAATTAGTAAGAATAATTAAATCAATTTATTTGTTGCTTTTTTATTGTTTTATTTATTTTTTAAGAAGTGAAGATCGATTTCTAACTTTTGGCTGAAGACTGAGAAAAAAAAATATTATTCTAAATTTAATTAAATTGAATTTCAACTACAGTCTGTCAAAGAGTACAAAAAAGTCACTTTATAGTGCAGTGATTTCTTGATGTGACAGTAAACAATTTTGTCCAAGATATATTCAAAATGTGGGGAGCCCTAAATCGCAACGTCTTCACGCGCTGTTCCACCTATCTCGTAGCGGCGGGAATCGGTTCATTCTTCTTCGAACGGACCTTTGAGATTATTGTCGAAAACATATATGAGGCGAAGAACAAGGGGGTTAGTCTTATTAATTTGATTTGAGCTTTGGAACATTGAGAATGTTTATGCAAAACTTGTATGAAGAATAGAACATTCCATCTTAAATGTTGATTGTTTCAAAAAGGAAATTAACATTTTGGTATACGGGTTACTATTCTGATAAAAAACTGACCTCATAATATTGTGAAATTACATATATTTTCCAAGTTGTATTGAAATCTATTAACTGTAAGTGGGTGAAATCCAAAGAACTATTCATCCCCTACTTTAACACCCTGAAAGGTGGAATATTTTCTTCAAATTTGAATAGGACCATTAGTGAGGTACCCCATTTCTACTTGGTGTAACGGGCTGGTGTAAACTCGACGTCAACGCGCCTATTTTGCATGTACTCCATTTCTATCAAAAAAGAATCGTTGGAATCGGTTCGCAAATGTTCCGACATTTGCTCCGGTAAGTGCTTCGGATCCCGCTAGCCTTCACAACCAAGTGCTCAGTGTGGCAGTACAAGCAGCTACAATTCGTCGTCAGACGCAATGCAACTGTTCAGACCCGACCTCCTAATGCCAACTCCCGATCACGAGTCCGAACACGGTAAAAACCATTTGACGACTCTACTGTGTCGGGAGGGTGGTGACTAGCCACGGTCGAAGCCTACCACCACTAGTTACTGCTCTTTAGCACCACCCAGGAGTCACTTGTAGGGTCTCGAAGGTAAACCTACGGAAGCGAGCAACCATCAACCCCCAAAAAAGAGTCGAGACTCATAATTGCGATACACAACTGGCCGATCGGAAACTTTTGACATTTCAAATCGGAACCATAGTTGATTTAACTCACTAGAAAAATATAGTAGGAATCAAGTTCATCTTCTCGCTCGGAAACTCATCTGATTTCGAGACTCGGATGGGTTACCCGATCGGATCGATTCTGATTTGCATTACAATCAGCCTGCTGGAGTGAGCTCATTTCCGCGTGGACAGTAAGACCATGTAAAAAAGAAAATATTATAACGCTTAATTTGAATGGGAAATGTTCATTATAATGCATTGGGCGTTTACGTCTGGGTCTAAATCACTTCACATATTAATATACACATTTTGATGTTTATAGGGCCTTAGGAGATAACTTCAAAACGGCTTAAGGGCTAAATCTAGTTTTTTACTATCATATCTAAGCTGTCGTGCGTTCTCGAGATTAAGGAATGGTGCCGGCACTGGTATACACTTAAGCTTATTCATTTCCAGCTAGCGTGGACACAAAAAGACACCCGTATAATTATGAAAGGGCAGACCATTTCTAGTTCTTTGCGATTATAGTGCCGACTAAATGATGACTTGTTACCTGACGACACATCCTTGATTTATAAAACCGACAGACATGATGTTAACTATATTGACAATATTAACGATACCCTTTCAAAAGGTAGTTTATTGGTTTAATGTTAACAATTTTACTTGTTGATCAATGCCAAGAAGACAAAGTGTGTTAAATTTGAATTACTTACCTAATATATAATTGACTAGCCCAATCATAGAAATAAATAGAGCTGGAGAAATAAAAGCTGTTTTTTTGGGAGTGGCCTTAGATAGTAAATTTCAATGGTTTCCAGATATATCAGCCTATATATAGCCTATTCCTTGGTCAGCAGATTAAGATCTGCTGTATACGTAGTTCGAAGAATACGTGAGCTTACCGATGTTGCTACTGCTAGACTAGTTTACTTTAGTTACTTCCACAGTATAATGTCCTACGGGATTCTCATGTGGGGGAAAGCGGCAGATAGGCAAACCATATTTGTATTGCTAAAACGAGCGATTCGTTCTGTGTACCGTTTAGGTTCTCGGGTAAATAAATACACATAATTTCGTTAAGAAAGAAGATATCCATAATATTAACCTTAGTCCAAACTCACGGTAGGTAGGTACCACGATTTCGTTTAACTGAGTTAAACGATTCTTTCATGGGGAACTGTATATGTTTTTACAATAAGATTCCGGAGCATATGTTAAGATTACAATTTCCTAAGTTTAAAACTTACTTTAAAAGTATTTTAATTGAAAAGTCATATTACAAAATTGGTATAGTACGTGTTAGATAAAGATATGTGAAAAGACAACATGAGTCTAGATTTCACACAAATATGATTCAAAGAGTATTCTACAGCATTTAAGTTTATTTCAAAATAGCAATCCCTAGAATTTCTTGCTCGTTTTTCTCAGGGAAGTAGGCACAGTGAACGGGCAGTAGCTTAAAAACGACGTTTTCAAGTGTAAAATTTTACTTTAAAATAAATTATTATTTGACTTTGATTAATTGAAGTTCAAAAAATTGACAAAGGTCACCGCGGAAGGGACGTTTATGTCAAAAGTTGCGGATTGCTTAAATATTAATTTGCAGATATGTTGGCTAACATATTCGCCAATTAATAGGGCTCCTTGGAAGGATAGGTAACTCGGAATTAGTAGACGTAAAGCTGCAGAGCCTTGAACACCGCTGTAAAGTTGACTGCATGTCGGTATTTTTCAGGATATATCAAGGAAAGCATGCAAGGGAGATACACGATTTAACTCCGCCTTCCCCTTTCCATCATCGTGGGACCGACGTAGGCTGGGGTTCCACCCCTATGTTGTGGATATTCCAAGGATTCGCACGAAACGTTTCGCTTCCACATTTATATGGCGAACGGCAAAGGAGTGGAATTCCCTACCTGCAGACTTGTTCCCTGAACCGTATAACTTAGGCACTTTCAAGGCGAGAGTGAATAGGCATTATTTAAGTGTGCATCCTCATCCACAGGTGAGGTGGAGTCAAATGCGCATTTATGTGTTAATAAAAAAAATGTAGATATTGCGTTGTCGGTATTAACCCGCAACGCCTTTCCTATTGCGAAGCCTTAATGCCCAGTGCGCTAAGGTGAATTTGTTTAGGAGAATTTGAGTTTGTATACACACAGGTTTAATTTTTGTTACAGAAGTTATGGAAGGACGTACAGCATAGATTCCAAAAACCAAAGGAAGCTGAATAAACAAAATGTTAAATTTTATTGTTGAATAAAATTACTTTTTTTTAAATTTCATTTATTTAATACTTAACCACCATATTTGTTTTATTTGTAATTTAATTAGGTAGGTACATACGTATATTATATATTTGTATAAACAATATTTATTGAGGTATTAACAAAGAAATAAAAAAATATACTCACTAAGATAATATCTGACTAGATTAGCTTAGAACAATTTATAATAATAAGGAAGACCATTGAAACGACAATCTTTTCAGTTAAAAGGCGAATAATCCAGAATCATTCCTAATTCACCCGAAACCAGTTAACACAGGATACAAATGTTTTTAAAAATTGCAACATCCTATAACTACATCCCCTCCCATACATGGCTGTTCCGATTATTTGTATGGGAGTATAGAGGAAATGTATGTGGTGTAACAAAAGATATTACTTTCGCTAGGAATTTTGCATTATATTTTGTAAAATCCAAGCTTCGGAGCTGTTCGAGTTTACGGAAATTAACGATTACATTGTCACCCCATGTTACTTTAATTTATTATTTGACGTTATTAATAAGTCGTTCATTAGTTTGTTAATGTAAACGTTAATAACCATTATATAACAATTAAATTTAAGTTTTTATAGAATTGATGTTCAATATTTATTTTTTTTACTCCACTAGTTTACAATGATCGAACACTTAGAAAAAAAAGTCCTTCGATCCGGCCGGATTCGAAACGACGTCTTCTAGCAAACCGTGCCAGACGCTATGCCAACTTACCCACGGAACGAAACAGCCGACCTCACGAATTCTTCTATGTGCTTGTTGTCGTATCTTTTTATTTGGTTTTTAACGACTTTTTAGCCGTAGCCATCTACGAGAAATCTTATAAAAGTATTTCGTTACTCAATTAGATACCTTTACAGGTACCAGCCCTGGCTAGAGATGTCGCTATTCACTGTGTTTAAATTTTTATTGAATTGATATTCAAACTTTTTTTTAAATAATTGTTAGCAGAGGTACATAAAGGTGCCTCCGAAGTAAAAGTTTACCTTAATACTTTAGATACAAAGTTTTTATTATGCTTGTTTCCATAAAACTACGATGGCTTGAAGTTTGGACTTTAAAACTGTGTAAAGATTTGATTATAAAAATATTCATGTACATTTTATTAACAAATTGAATTCATAAATGCACAGCCTCCACTTTTATTTACATTTTCAATACAAAAGGCAAAAAGCATTATGCTGACTGCGCAGGATGATTACCTTTAGGGAGTCACCAAATAATGGGCACTGTTATGGGCATGCGTGTAGCTTACCACCAGACGCACGACTTGTTCGTCCCGTCACTTGGTATTATAAAAAAAAAAAAAAAAAAAATAAGAGGCCAAATTTGACAGCTAAAGAGGCGAAGGCGAAACAATAAACACACAATAATTAGCATAATTGAGTTTGAAAAAATACATAAATTTTATTGAAATATATAATATGACAAAACATGTGAAGTACTGTTTTCGCACGAATTCCAAAATAAAATGCAATTTTGAGTTACTCCGAAACGTCCTGAAAACAGTTACGTCCTCAAGCTATTTTTTCTTTAATAATAGTGTTGTAAGCAATTAATCGCCGAATTTCACAGAGTCACTTTGATTTCTCGGAAAAAATATTGACTCGCAAAAATATTAATTCTCGCTATAAACCATTTATGAATATTATAAAATCAAAATTAAAAGAACTATCCAGTATTGTATCCACAATTCATTGGAATGTGGGACAATTTTACGAAAATAAGAGGAATTGCTACAGAATTGCAAGGAATTCTGTAAATGAATTGCTTTTAACTGAATTGCATGATTTGGCCTTTTAAGCCCCCTGAACAACAATGAACCTAAAAATAATCTAAACAATCGCAAACTTAAAATTTTTAATCGATTTCTTTGTGAAAATAGTATAATGTGATTACCGATATGATTAGTCCACATCCCTATTCGCGTCCACGATGACAAGTGTCAAATTTGGCCTCTTATTTGGTGATGAGTAAGAACATATCAATGAGAACCGGCTTGAGCAGATTAGAAAAGGCTACATGTCCATGTAATAATAGTGAAAAAGTAGTTGTGCGTTGCGCAGCCGCGAGACTAGTGATGGATCATGGAAAAATTTCCATTTTGAAAAAAATATAATTTCAGATAAAGTAAATATTTTCCCTTTACTTTTCCACGTTTGACGTTGACATCTGTCTTAAAAGTTGAAGTTACTGAACGAAAACGATGCAGCCAAGAAAGTTTTTTTTCCGCTGTTGTGAGACCATTTTAAGTCTCGTTTTACTCTAAGTGGCTTTTCACTTAGAGAAAAACGAGCTTTTTTTCACGTTAAATAAAAATTCAAAAGATAAACGTAGGACATTATGATATTTTTATCAGTAATTTTTTTTATGTTCCGGAATTTTTTCCGGGACAATTTCCACTATTTTCAAGTTTACTTAAAATTACCCAAAAGTACGCGAGACGCACAACGTCTTTGGCGCTCTTACTGCATGGACATACAGCCTTTTCTGACTGACTTAGTGCGATTTCGCGTCGATAAATGTGGTGACTCCCTTGGGGTCAACTCAGGCGCAGCAAAGTTCGACGAGGCGGCACGTTCTAGAATTTTAGATCATCGAGCAACTTGTAGTAGAACTTTAATTTAATCAGTTGCAAATGGTATGCTGTATGTACATGTTTCAAAATTGTCGGTTTACGTTAATAAAATCACAATTAATAATTGACTAAACTTGAGATAGTTAAAGTGTCAGTAACTTGTGATATCATGTTACTGTTAATTAACAAATACGCAAAAAATATGTTTTTTAATTGGAAAAACAAATATACTCCCGGACACGTAAATCGAGTCACCTTGCATTTTTATTGTTAAAGGGCTGAATACAAAAGTATTGTTATCACTGAAGAAAACAGTTTTTCCCGGTTTTCTAAATTCAAATTTTCAACAAGGACTCATGGAAATGACGTTTAGTATACCAATTTCAAAACAGCTTAGTAGTTTTCGATCAATCAAACATTGTTTAAGCTTAGGCCAATTAATCTGAAAATGCAAGGTGGCTCGACTTACGTGTCCGGAAGTGTATTTGGTTTCATATATAAATGTCCATTTGTAACCAAATATTTCTTTCTCGATTTTTATTATCAAGCTGTTGATTTTATGTACAGCCAGCCATACATTAAGATATCATCGGTGTTTTAATATATTTACGTTCTGTTTTAAAAACTACATTTTAAAAATTAAATGTTATTAAAATAAAAATTGAATTTTAGAACAGGACGTAAATAATTTAAAATAGTCTTTAAATCTAAAACATGCTCCTTTGTAAAACTACGATATAGAATGTGTCGATTTTCTATTAAAATCTGTCTTGTACAGCTTAATCTGTGGCTGAACGACACACCCATCTTCATTTATTATTTTCATCTCAATGTCACTTACGGTAAGACAGAAAGTTGTGATCACATCAATCTCTACGTTGTTTCAAGATGCACCCTGTTATTTACCCTTACCCACCCCAATAGACGATAGGGTAGTCAATCATTTTAAACTAGCATCATTACTTCTTACAACCTTGTTATATCTCCTTCGCTGTTTTTAAAACGCTTCACCCATATTACTAATGGTTGATTGGTGGATTTTAGTAGAGTCAGCATCAAAATTATTGTAATTAATTTAACATACACTATTGATTGAAACTGAAATAATAATAACGCACACACTCACTGCCCAGCCCCGCCAGGGAAACCATGTATCGCGGGTGTCATGGACACACATAGACTACCATAAATTACACCCAAAGTCACGAGAAAAATAGATGTAGAGCTTACAAATATTTCTCCCGGCCCGGGAATTGAACTCCAGATCTCTGCGTGGTAGTCCAGGGTGGTAACCGTTGGCCACAGAGGCAGTTTTAATTCATCTAAAAACAATTGAATTTTAAAATCATTGTTAATCGTCAACCCATTTATATGTCCCACTGTTGGGCACGGGTCTCCTTTCAGACGAGGGTTGAGGCCATAGTCCGCCACGCTGGCCCAATGCGGGTTGGGGACTTCACATGTTTTCCGAGGGTTGTGAACCTTCTTCGACGTGCAGGTTTCATCACGATATTTTCCTTCACCGAAAAGCTCATGATAAATTTCATATTAATTTTTCAAATTAAACTCAGAGGTGCGAGCCCGGATTCGAACCCACGACTCTCTGCTTGAGAGGCAGTAGGTCAAACCAATAGGCTACCACGGCTTCCAAATCATTGTTGGTTTATGTTAAATGTTAAATAAAAAAAAGACAATTTTGACGCTGACTGTACTATTAATGGTTAATAATTTCCTTAATTGGTTCAACCAGGAATTCCAATGTCAAGATTCTTAACCGTTCGCCCACCGATTTTATTAAGTCAAATAATAATTAATTGTGTTAGTCGATTTTGAGTTCTTGCGTTTTTAAACTTGTTTAAGTTCAGGAAATAAGCTAATTTAAAAACCGATTTACGATGACTTTCCCTTATAAAGTTTCAATCCCGGATAAAGTTTCCCTTGTTCTGCTCACCGCTGTATGGATAATTCAAAATCGTAGTATTCTGCAATACTGCATTATTGTATAAAGGCTGCGATGTGATGCAGGGTACCTTTATGTATGGATTAACATAATTGATAGTGGTGGTAGTGTTTATTTCCCGCATCGATGGCGTACATAGTCGGGGTCGTCAGTGAGAGTGTCAGCGGAGGACGACGAAGGCAGAGACCGAGGTTGCAACGGCAGAGGGGCGTCCAATTGTTGCTCTTCCGCTATTGCCCAAATTATATCCACTAGGAGCGGCTGGGGAAGGTTTTTTATCGCGTCTTGCCTCGCTACCTGTGAATTAATTAAAAGTTGAAATTTTAGGAAGTTCCATTATATTTACAGACAGGATTAATCGCCGTTCCACTTTGACGATTGCTATGCAGTATCTCTAACATGGGTTTACAATTAGTAAAGTTAGTTACCTCATAAAAAAATCGTATGTGAAATTTTAGTTATTTCTATTACCACTAGTGGCGGTGTGCAATTTGCCAAAGAAAATTGACAAATATTCGAGGGGTCGCTAGCTACTATTAGAGCCTCATCACATTGGCTCTTACCTACTAAAGAAAAAAGAAAAAGTTTGATGTTCCTTTGAGTTCCTTTTTCTGACGTCTTATATTGTAACAGTTCACTAAGATTTCTGAACACTGGATCACAGGGTAAAGGAAGGTCATTTATATCTAAATAATACTTTTCAAACTTAGAAATCACACTTTTTTGTTCTTGTAACGGTTATACTCATCATTAATCATCGTTAATGCGTTTATATTACTTGTTTATTACTATTTTTAATTATCAATGATTTTCACCATTGTGAATATTATTTACTATCAAATGACAACTAAACGATTATTAAATAACTGATTATAGTTCGTTCGCATTTCTTAATACCTACAAATGGAATTTACATTTGTAATAGTGAATTCAACTAGTAATTCATATAATAATTGGTATAAAATATAGCTTGCAAAGATAATCCAGAAACCATTTTTGGCATAGTCTAAACGCCTGCAAAACTATTATTAGCAATTACACATAGAAGATAAACTGTCTTTTTAGATGACAATTTTTGCAAAGGCGTTTTATTGTTTTTTTAAATAACTTTTTATAGAAGCTTCCTAAAATAGTGAAAAAAAAGTATGCTTCGGTAGAAAATAGTTATATAAAAAAAGGAAATTATATGCTGCTAGTACCATGAAAAACCTAAAGTAGCCCAGCCAAACTGACGTCAGAATGGCTGGCCACTTTATTTCTTTAATATTTCCATCAGCGCAAAGGTAGAAAATATGTTAATAAAGGTAGAAAAAATGTAGTAAATAATGAGCACAATTTGATTTGTATATCTCGTTTGGTCCGGCCAACCTGACGGACACCACGCGTGTTGCTTACCAACAGGCTCACGACTTGCTTGTCCCGTCACTTGATGTTATAAAAAAAATAAATAAAAAAAACACCAAAAGATAGAGCACAAAATTCTCTTTTAATAATATCAGTATAGAATACTAAAAAACCGACCTCAAAAGTACGTGGAATTACATATAATTACCAAGTTTTATTGAAATCGGTTACCGGCAAGTGCGCAATCCCGGATTCATCCCCTAGTTCGCCACTAAATCAACTATTAAAATAATTGCTTTTATAACAAAATTTAGGCGCTATTTATAAAAAGGAATCTTCATGCGTGAACAACCACCCTTAGAGGTGGATGATTTTCTTCAAAATTAAATGGGATCACTATGGAGGTACCTTCTTCCTAACAAAAAAATAAATGTGAAATCGGTTCACAAATACCGGAGTTATCGCGTAACATACATACAAAAAAAACTTACAGTCGAATTGAGAACCTCCTCCTTTTTTGAAGTCGGTTAAAAACAGTTGAAACGAGTTAACGTGTTCGACTTATCGAAACTTACCCTAACGATGCATAGCTGAAATATCATTACATAATTTCAATATTCGAAGGGTCGTATTCTAGAACTCTACTCAATGCTCAAGTCAGGATTGCACTGGAAACACAAGCACTGGAAATACGACCTTAATGGCAGGGACTTGACTATGATTTCGAGTGCTTTGAATCATTCTCAAATCCTGACTTGAGCATTGAGTAGAGTTCAGGAATACGACCCTAAAACTGGGTTATTGTTTTTTATATCTCAAAAAATTATTTTGTCACTTAACGCGTTATATCACATGTGGCTTTATTATTACCAAGAGCATGAGTTACAATTATGACAAACATTAATTATATATATTATTGTCCTATGTTGATAACCGCTTCCCATAATCGTGGATTACGTCCATTGGTGATAAAGGAATGCATGTGGATTAAGAGTTAACTAAGTATATTTTTACTTACTGATCCAAAATGATGTACAATCATTTTAAGTGCGTATTCTTTGATATCCGCCGCTCGCATTCTGTCCGCGGCTTGTAATATAGCGAGGACGTTCTCCGGAGTCACGTTGCTTTGCAGATTGTGTTTGCAGAAAACTTGCAGGCGGTTGTTTGTGAAGCCTGCACATGAAAGATTTTAATTTTTCAATTATGACCTCACTGTATTATGGTACCTCCTGCTTTGGACTTTTTAGCTTGTTCGACAAAATCTTGCCCCTTTTAAGGGTTGTAGAATATTTACAATAAATATATATTAGACCACGTCACATAAGTGAAGTAATTTACGCGATCGCTAGCGATAACTGTCATAGTAAACTCGTGGTAGAGACACTGTTCTCAACGCCAGCGATCGTTTAGCTTGCGGCGGTTAAGTGATGTAACAAGAGTGTGAGCGCGATTCCGGTACTGTCACGTGACCTTTTTATAGTACCAATTTTTTTTATTAAGCATGAGTTATTTTGGGAGGAGAGTTTCACCGAAATTGTGAAGACCAAACATGAAATCCGGATAAGTTCTATGATTGCGCTAGATTGACCGCGGAAACATTTATTGACCTGTATTCTTGCTAATATCAAGCCAGGATCCCAATTCAGAACTCTTCGATATCTTAACCGAATCGTTCGATTGGATATCGTTCTCGAATCGAAGGACGCTTTCCGATTCAGATTCCGATACGATATCGTTACCCAACAATGTTTACGGAGTTAGTCGGCGAATATAGATTATAAGAAAAATGAAATCCTTTTATATACATTTTTAAGACTTTAAAGGCCTAAAATATAGGAATGCATTAGTCTCGCATTAAAATAAATTAATAAAATTGAACAAAATCCAGATTTTATTTAAAATAATAAAGGATTTCCATATTACATTCTTGTTTTGTAAACAATAGGACGTTCGGTAACTTTCATTCGATAACTGTGTTCTGAATAACGTTTGTAGCCTTTGCCGGTCGACAAGTTCGAGAAATTGTACGGGTGTGATGTCATTTCGGTTCGGTTTCGAATACGACAGTTTGACGTTCGATTCGGTTATTGTGAATAAAAAGAAATCGTACGATATCTAATCGAATCGGTCGACAACAGAGTTATCGTAGGGTTCTGAATCGACCTGCAGAATTGGAATCACACTTTAATTATGAACGAATAGTATCTCTATTCTTCTTTATATATTGATTAATAATCCTTCCATTTTTATGGTCGATAAGTATGTTGTTGCATGGTGGTGGTCTTTCTAAAACTGCTGAAATTATTTCCTCTGACGACATCTCTAAACTTGAGATGTCGTCAGATGAAAACGCAAAGAAAAGGCGCTTGCGCGTTTGATCTTACAACATACAACCAAATAGAGATCTAAAAAATGTCATAGAGTGCAACAAAAAATTTAAAAGGTTACATTTATTATATGTATTATGTTTTGTAAAAAGTCATGGAACAACAGTTGTCGTTTATACAAATAACCTTGTATAATAAAAATCTTTAAATAAAATCCACTAACACACTCACCGTAATAGATGGGCGCTTGGAATAAATAGAGTGAATCTTCAGTAGGCATATTGGTGTCGCCGTAGTAAACGTACCGGAGTAAAGAGTCGAAGGCTTCCTCCGAGGGTATTGTGTCGCAGATTTGAATCTGTAAATGGTGAACAGTATTAATAGTTTTCAAACAGACAAACCAGCAGAGATGGCCAACCCATACAACGCTAAATCGATATCAGATGTATCAATTAACGTAAGGGACATTTTGTCGAAAATAAGTTACATATACCATTGGATTCGGAAGTTCCCGCTCTATCGATTGGTATTATTAAAATTTAGGAATGCCCAGTGGTTTAAAATATAGTATGTCCCTTATATTAAAAAACATTAAAAAAAAGATGTTTAGTTGTGTCTTACGTTACTAATATTTTATGTGTAAACCTTCGCGCATAAGGTAAGCAGTACGAGAAATAGAAAATTATGCGTAATTCTATAGTAAAGGATCCTTAACTTTGCTCGGGACGTGTACGGTTAAAAAAAAAGCCTATATTTAAGTTCTTCTTTTTGTACCTGTTTCTTAATAAAAAAAAATGTAATTATAAACACAATCCGTAAGACTTTATTTACTAAAGCAGAGTGGAGAAGGTTGTGTTTCAGCAATATCTTAGCATTAGCCATTGACTTACAATTATATGGACGTCGGGTCCGCGCTAAAAAGTGTCCGCACTTGTAAGGCGCTAAAATCGTATACAGAGCGCTATCTCCGCTTTAGTCTTCATTTGTTCTACTGACAGCGCGATACTGCGATGACATTACAATTTAAATTTCGAATAGGTTGACTTGGGACATTTTTTGTCGTGGTTTTTGTATTAGACCCGTCGTCCATTTATTTGTAAGTCAATGGCATTAGCTGTAAATTTTTTCAATTTTTTTAACGTTCCATTACACTTACGTAAGTAATTAAAATGGTTGTACTTAACTCTGCATAGCCATAGAATCAGTAAAACGAAAACTTATTATTAAACTTAAAAATCTTTATGCAGGCCTACCGTTGAACCGAGTCGGTTAAACGGAAGGAGTGTTAGTTATGTCGCGCTGCACACGAGATAATTTCAACAAGATTTTTCTGACGATACTCAATAAAAAGTTGATTGAATCAGTACAGAGTACTAAAAAAAACTGACCTCAAACGTTTATGGAATTACATACATTACTTGCAAACCGGATTCATCCCTTAATTTGCCACCCTTCGAGGAGGAATAGTTTCTTCAAATATAGACCAATACTGAGGTACCCTCTTTCCAACAAAAAAAAAGTATCACCAAAATCGGTTCACACCCGGAGTTATCGCGTATCTTACATACAAAAAAAACATGCAGTCAAAATTGAGAACCATCTCCTTTTTTGAAGTCGGTTAAAAAAGGGCCTACCAAAGGTCCTTTTTTCAATCAACTTGTTATTGAATATCGTCAGAAAAATGTTGTTGAAATTTTCGTAAACGTGACAGTTAGTAGTCCTCCCGCACAGCTACCTCAAGAACGGACTCAGTTAAGCAGTAAGCCTGTACTTACGTTAACTATATTATCTTCTGGTGAAAAAGATCTGAACATTGCTTCAAAATAAGCGGCTCTAGCTGCTAATATGGAACGATGTCCCGGCCTCATAGTGGATCCCACTCGAAGCTTTACGTCAGCTAGTTCGGCGCCGCCGCTGCTTACAAATACGCACATGTCTTGTTCTAGTGTTGTCCCTGGGAAAATACACACACATCTTCATGACTGTCTCCCAGTGGGTAGACAGAGACACGATATATAATGAACATTATATAATGAGCAGTGGTCAGAAAAAGGTGTTCCACATATACAGATACATGTATAGATAGTAGCTACAAGGAGCGACATAGAGTTGTTAAAACCACCAAATATTAATTAATTACTGTTTTCGAATTCCTAAATGTAAATTATACGTAACAAAAATTCGAAATGTAATAAAGTTTTTATAATGAAAGAATTTTTTTTAGACGCATACGCCTTATAACGCACACACGCAAACACTCAACATAGCCCCGCACTAGGGAAACCCTGTGTCGCGGGTGCCATGGACCCACACATAGACAACCACAAATTACACCCAAACTCACGAGAGAAATAAATGTAGGCCATAGAAATATTTCTCTCTGCCCGGGAATTGAACCTGGGACTTCTGCGTGGCAGTCCGGAATGGTAACAGTTCGGCCACAGAGGTAGTTAAAAATTCCTCTCTTTATACTATTTAGATGAAGATAAATGACCGTACATGGCACAATTCACGACCATTATAATAATAGTAAGGTACGTTCTTAATAAATAAATTTAAATAGCTTAAACATCAACATGTTGTCCTTAGCGAATGGCTCGCTGAAAGCGTTGTTAGTGTAAATCAATACAAACGTATCAACCAAAATTTTATCAACTGCACAAAAGCCGTGAATGGTCAAAATATGGACAAAAATCCACATAAATTACACAGGGATTCAAATTGACGGAAGGAAATTTGGAAATAGTCAGGTTACCAATGATCTCCTCGTCGCAGTCGTGATGCAGCGCAGGCGGCTGTTTGGCCGGCGGCTGTTGCCGGCGTCGGATAACCTGGACCATTAGTGATTGCTCCATCGCTTCGAATTCCGCTGACATCACGATTGGTGTGAAGTTATAGTCCTTTACCACGAACCTACGTAAAATATACATCTATATAACCTACGTGTAACGTATAGTATTTGAAATGCATTATTGAGATTTTCTTGTGAAATATTTCCAACAGTTTTTTTATAACTATTAATATAAAGATTGAACACATAGAAAAGCTTTTTCGATCCGATGGGACTTGAACCCATGACCATATTGCACCGTGTTATTGCTCTTACCAACTGAGCTACGGGTCTAGTTATAGAGTAGTCGAAATTCTCATATGTGTTTTTTTGTTAAAGATCTTTGTACTGGATATTTTTCGGCTTGCTGGGCCTCTAGTGACATCTAGTAAGAGATTTTAGAACCTTCTTCACCGCAGTCTTGTATAGTATTTGAATTACTTGTAATTGACGACATTGGTGGGGGCTTACGGACGGCACTGTGAGCGTCGGATGAGGTCCCGGCTTCGATTCCCGGTAAGACCAATTTAGGAAATTAATTATCTGTGATGAAAGTTCTGGGTGTTGTTGTGCCTCGGAGTGAATTCCATTGCTCTGGTTCTAATATTACAGGGAACACCTGGTTCATTATTATTATTATTATTTATTTAAAAATTAGTTATGTAAATGGGGCCAGCGTTTTTACTGCTTATATAGTTTAAAAGACAGACAAAAACAGTGCTTTAGCGTTTAGTGAAGATCTTAAATCGAGGTTACGTATAAATTGAGAAGTTAACGTTAATTTGTGCTAAAAGCAGAGCTCCGTCACTCACTCGAGGTTACGCGGTAAGTGCCTACCGCTGAGTGTATCGCCGACTGCAAGCGCTCAGACAAGTCTTTCATTTACATTACAATCCTTTTACAACCCTTTTAAGAGCTTTCGGTGCCGCACGACTGTACACGGCGGGCAACATTATTTTCACCTCTCTGAACACGTGGTTAGGTTCCTTTTTCCTCGTAATGAGCGCCAGGTTTCATTAGTCAGATTTAGTAGGCGATAGCGTAGGTATTTTCGATTTTGTATGAGACGTAGTAACAATTAAGTAATCTATGCTACAAGAGACGTACGACACACGATACGTAATAGTTATCATAGCAGGGACTAGATGGCGCTACTATATCAGGTCTCTTCCAAAAGAGGATATTTTACATTATACGTAATAATTGTTACAGTGGAGCCTAGATGACGCTACTGTACTAGGGCCAATGCTATAGGGTGTCTAGGCATGAATCTGATAGCAAATAGAAAATGGCGAAATTTTGCCCAGAGGGCGAGAGAGTTTCTGTGTGTATGTAACAATAATAAAGTTGTATTTCTTTCTAATTACCTAAGACAATACTCCTTAATACAATGCAAGTTAGCGTGATGCGCGGCGTGTAACGCCTGCAGGACATTGCTGTAGCACAAATTGGCGCGAAGGAATCTTGCGCAGAGACCACGCAGTCGTGGGATGTTAAGGCGGAAGGCGAGTCGCAGTACTTCCATTACTAGAAGGATTGTGGCTGGCGAGGCTGGGTCTTCGTCTAGAGGAAAAATTAAAGAAACTTATTAAATACAATTGAAAATAACCGACTTCAAAAAAGGACGAGGTTCCCAATTCAACTTTATTGTTTTTGTATGTTAGGTGATTGTAAACCGATTTTGGAAAAATTTTCTTTATAAAAAAAAGTTATTTGGAAGTTCGCATCTGCAATTATAAAGTGATTAAATGGGATAAGTAAGATTTTTGGGAAACGTACTAAATATTTAAAAAAAAATAAGTAAAATATTGTTTTAATATCAAATAATTTTTTTTTGTCATATTAGGGTCGCCACGGGGTAGGAACAACCTAGCGTGAGACCAAGTTTAACCGTTGCATAATGCTTTCAGATATGGTACCACGTGGCAGTGATTCAAAACACAAAACTAACATTGCAGTTTTGTTTTTGTATTTGTGATACCAACAAACGTATCACAATTGTTATATTTGGGACCAGTGAAATAACATTATATAGGGTCCCACGACTAAGAAAGAAAGTACTTTAAATATTGTGGACAGGATATTTTGCTTCATGGAAACATAATTTTATATTTAAAAGTAGATAGATATACACTTTATTGTTCACATACAAGAACAGTACATGGACAACTTAAAACTAATGTGGGTAAAGGCGATCTCTTTCAGACAACACTTGAGGTAGAGCTAATCGGAGCGGGAAAAGTAATGTGCCAATTTACAAATAAAAAAAAAATTAAATTATATATAACTTCCATCATAATTAATCATATACTTAATAAATAAATAACGATATATTATACCAACACAAATATATGTTATATATAAATATACGTAAATAAACTTATACTTACTAATAAATATATACACGTCGCAAATTAGGACCGTGTTAGAAAATATTTACGCAATCCGATTTTGAAAATTGGGAGTGACTTAGGATGTCGAATTTCAGATGGGCGATCGTTCCACAATTGTGTAATACTGCTTTCAAAGACTTTTGAAAGTGGCTTGCCTCATCTGGGATTCGAACCGAAAAAATGGGAAATAAAGGTCTTGTATTTTTATGAAGCCGATCGAAAGAGTCAATTATAAGGATTAAGAGTCTATACAACCTCAAATGGCTTCGGTTGATTCCGCATAACAGTGAAAGTGTTGTATCAATCACTTTGGAAAAAATATACAGTGTGGAAATTTGTAATGCCACCTGTGGGGAAAGTACGCTAAATACTGGAGATAGAAAATTTTACTTTAAGGAAACATTCCTTTATTTTTTAAAAGAAATAAAACTGCATTCATGGATTTTCGAAAATTTCTAGCAACACGCGGGTATCGAACCCGCTTTAATCTGAAAAAAATGCACCCTGCACTTTTATTGCAGCGATCGATAGGGTTAATTATAAGAATAAAATCTCTCTCACAAAATTGGTTAATTAAATGAAAAAAAAACCTAAAATCTTAACGTATTTTAATAAAACGAAAAAAATGGTAATCTAACTAATTAGTTGCTCGAAATAAGCTCCATTTTCTTGGATACACAAATTTAATCTTTTAACGAATTCATTTTGAGTCAACTTTTAATAACGTGTTGTGATGAATTGTATTACAAATCGTATTCAAAACCTCAGCCTTCAACTCGTTTACACTCGCATAGGATTTAAGGTAAATTTGATTTTTAACATATCCCCACAAAAAAATCTAAAGGAGTGAGATCAGGTGATCTCGCAGCCCATCTGATTGTGCCGTTTGTACCAATCCAGGTATTAAAATGGTTACTAATGTAGGCAGTAGTGACTCTGCTGTTATGGACTGGAGCGCCATCTTGCTGCAGAATTATTCGATTTCGCTTTTCCTCGGATAAAACATTTAACTCATTTCTTAAGAGATCCAGTATTTAAAGATACTTGAGAGTGGTCAAATGACCTTCGTACACGTGGACTAATACAACCATATTTCTCATAATTCCGCACCAAACGTTGAAAGAGAATCTTAGTTGATTTTTATTTTTATTTATTTACCTTAAATCCTATGCGAGTGTTAACGAGTTGAAGGCTGAGGTTCAGCATACGATTTGTAATACAATTCATCACAACACGTTATTAAAAGTTGACTCAAAATGAATTCGTTAAAAGGTTAAATTTGTATATCCAAGAAAATGGAGCTCATTTCGAGCAACTAATTAGTTAGATTACCATTTTTTTCGTTTTATGAAAATACGTTAAGATTTCATGGTTTTTTTTTTATTTAATTAACCAATTTTGTGAGAGAGATTTTATTCTTATAATTAACCCTATCGATCGATGCAATGAAAGTGCAGGGTGCATTTTTTTCAGATTAAAGCGTGTTCGATTCCCGCGTGCTGCTAGAAATTTTCGAAAATCTATAAATGCAGTTTTACTTCTTTTAAAAAATAAAGGAATGTTTCCTTTAAGCACAAATTTCTATCTCCAGTATTTAGAGTACTTTCCCTCCAGGTGGCATTACAAATTTCCACTCTGTATAGTAAAATTGAGGATATATACTGATTAGTATACGGTGTGAAGACACGATTCCTAAAAATTTACACATTTAACAAAATACCGCTGTATTGAATAGGTACACACGCCAGCACATCAAGCTACACATAGACGTATCTTGTTCCGTTGCACTGGAGGCAATTTTCGAACAAAAATGTGTGTCTGATGTGCCGTTGTCCGTACTTTTTCTTCGTTCTTTTTCGTCCGTTTTTTTATATCAACTGAACTAAATAGAACACGTATAGTATACGATATACATTTTTCAAATTATTTTAATTTCGTTTGTAAAAAAAATAAACTGAAATAAAGCCAGTGTCCCTGCCATATTAGAACCATATTAGTACGGGAAAACTTTAAATTCGAGCTGAGGGAGTATCGACTCTTGATTGCTTTTAACTAACATAGCATGTACTTATGGCTTTAATTTCTAAGTTTGAATGCGTAGCAACCACTCCTCTGGAGATAAAACCTGAATGTTGAACGAGGTTCACAACCCTTGGGCCAGCATGGCGGACTAATTCACGAGTCTTGGGTCTTTCACTTGCGTTTTCCGCTTGTTTGCGTGACTCGCTTCGCGCATACGTAAAGGTCTGTCGCGTACGCGCAGGTAGGATTGTTCACGCTTGCGCCGGCCGCTTGCTTTGCTTTGGATTTCTTTGCGTTGTGTGAGTTTGATATCTAGCAAGCTTGATATTTCACGCAAGCAACAGGGGACGGGACCACTGGCCAATCACAGAGCAGCAGCCGGTTCGAGAGTGTCGACAATCCAAACAAAGGAAAAGGCGCCGCATGTGCGCGCAAGTCAGAGATCACCCGTGTCTGGCAGTGGGAAGTACAATGGGTGGATTAGTTACTTACCTTTCTCAGTAGGATCAATTCTATCCGTGTAAATGTAGTTGAGCACCATCCGGAAGGCTTCGGGTGTGGCTTCAGTCAGTTTTACGGTGAGCTGTGGCTTCGACTTGTACGTGACTTCAGACGCTTTCTCTTCGCCTGCTTCTATGCGTTTCTCTAGCTCTTCACGAGCTTCTCTGATTAAATAGATGAAGCGATATATTTTTTAGAAAAAGAAAAATATTTTTGGTACATATAGAACATTATATAAAGCCGTGGTAGTCGTGGTTTGATCTACTGCCTTTCAAGCAGAGGCCGTGGGCTTGAATCCCTACTCGCGCGTCTGAGTTTCTCACAATTGGCTCACAGAGACGCCAACTTTACAAGGAAACGCACAAAACGCGCAAAAAACAGTTAAAGCTTAATATGATATTGAGCGTTAAGTGGTTTTCGCGTCTCCTTGTAAAGTTGGCTTTTTTTACTTGTATCCCTTTTCACTAGAGCTACAGAATTTTTCTGCGAAATTTAATTTGAAATATACCACGAGATTTTATTGAAATCGGTTATCGGAAAGTGCATGATACCGGATTCAGCCCCTAGTTTGCCACCATTAGAGGTGGAATATTTTCTTAAACTTTAAATGGGACCAATACTGATCGCGTAACATACACACAAAAAAAATACCGTCGAGTTGAGAACCTCCACCTTTTTTTTAAGTATTTTAAAAATGGAGTTCTATAGTATGTGTTATATTATATTTGACATTTACAGTGCCTATTTTCAATAAGAAAATCTGTATACATACTGTATTCAGGCAAATAAACTTATTCTATTGTATACATTTTGTAGCAAATATACCTAATAAACCTAAAAATACAAAGATCTGCAATAAGCACAAAGAAAAATTCGCAATATCTACTGATATGTTGAGTGTGTGCGTTATTTATTTATTTATTTATTCGGTCTATAGCTAAGTAGGTGTCCCTGGTAAGGCAATAGACGCTAGTTCCAGATCAGTTAGATAGAAAGATTTTTTCTTTGTGTTGTTATACCTTTGCATCAATAATTATAATAACCTTCTTAGACCTGAAAGCTAACAAAGAACTCACTTGATTTTAGCCCTTAAATACTGTGAGCGAGCAGCCAACATAGCTTGATGAGCTACCACGGGTACTTGCTCCGGGCCGACTAGCAGAGTGATGTCACAGAACTGTTGTGATTTTAGGATGCGACCGAAGTCATCGTGTAGGGTGCAGCGAGGGTAGTTTGACAACTGTGTAAAGAATTAGTTTTATTGGGTTCGAGTTTTCAAATACACTTTTTTTATAATATCAAGTGACGGGACGAATAAGTCGTGCGCCTGATGGTAAACTGCACGCATGTCCGCCTGCAGTGGCGCCCGTTATCCTGAGACATAAATTGAAAAGTCCTATGTGCCTGTAATTTCACCAGCACCCTTACCCTTCAAAACAAGAACGCAGTAATGCTTGTATTACTGCTTGGTGACAGAAATAGGTAATGTGGCAGTATTTCCCTGGACGAACTCTTTCACAAGGAACTCTACTGCTACTCATCTTTTGTATTGAATATCACGATGTTTTACTATCATGATATTAAATTCATCTATTTTTTATTATTCAACTAGTTTGTAATTGCCTGAAGGCACGGTATGCTGAAGGCACTGGTTCGAATCCAGCCGGATCGTAGGAATTTTTCTAAGTGTTCCATCTTTGTATTAATAATTATAATGAATCATGTAACTGCCTCCGTGGTCGAACGGTTACCATGCTGGACAACTACGCAGAGGTTCTGGGTTCGATACTCAGGCCGGGAGAAGTACATATGTGTATGGACTACATTTATTTCTCTCGTGAGTTTGGGTGTAATTTGTGGTTGTCTATGTGTGTGTCCATGGCAATACAGGGTTTCCCTAATGCGAGGCTACGCGTGTGTTGCGTTATTATTATTATGCGGTATTATTATATGTATATGTGTGGTTTATATTGAGCAATTATCCTGAGCTCCCAATTGTAATGACAATGTAGCACTGTCTTACCTGAAACCGGAACAGCTCTCCACTTCTAACATTATTGTCAACGGTACCACCGAAGATGTACATAGCATCGCCGACCACTGCGCCTGCGTGAAACAGTCTGCCTGATGGGATTTGCGAATCACCTGCTGTGTGGACCACGGACCTGTTTTGGGTAAATTAAAACAGTCGTAATGAAGTAAACTTCATAAGACCAAAATGTATGATATTTCAGATAAAAGGCATTAATAAGGCTTATTTTTTTAATGTTACCGGTGAGTTTGACATTGTGAGATCCGCTTTATGAAGTGTAGTTCCCGTCGTCTATAGCCACAAGATCTTATCATGTATTCGGTCCATATTTATAAACAGTATCTAAGTTCGATATTAAGAAAAAAATAAAAAAAACAAAACAAAAATATTTCGAAATTATCAAGAAATTTAATTTCTTTGATAATTATCGTGATAATTATTCGACAAATCGTCGGTGTTTTGTAGAAAGGGCCATTTCGAAAAATAACTCAGGGGAGAATGTTTTAGGTTTTTACGACTGTTTTAAAATATTTACATCCAGTTTGAAAATTCAATTTTGATTTAATTAAGTTTAAGTTTTAAAATTGACTTTAAAACAGAACGTAAATATTTTAAACAGCCGTGAAAAATTAAAACAACTTCCTATGAAAAAAATTTCAAAATGGCGCTTTCGCCCTTTCTACAAAATACCGACGTTACATCCGATAATTATTCATGCTGATTCATAGTTCTCTTTAATTTTTGACTAATGACAAATAGTTAGAAAACTAAATTAAAGAAAAATCTTTGGGAAAACGATTTGGTTTGTGCCTTTTTTATACGTCTCTGATAAAAACACATGACACGACAATGCCAACGGCATTTTGTTCCAATTTTATAAATATCAAGATAAATATCAAGGTATACTTTACTAAGATAATTATGGAAGTGATAATTATCATTGATAATAACCAACCCTGACTAATATTAGGAAATAATAATATAAAAATTATAACACAAAAAAATCGAAATGAAAGAAAAGGAACAAAAACAATAATAAAATGTAGAGGTACTTTGTGTGGAGGCAGCTGCGATAACTTCAGTATTTAACCGTGTATCAGCCGAGATGTCATTCAGATTTCGAGATGAAACAAAAATTGTTTCTGTAACTCCCATTTAAGGCCGAAACATTCTTACAATGTGTAAACTTACCACATTTGAGTATCTAAATCGTAACAGTGCAAATCAGCTGGCAGAGTATTATCAGCTGCTCCCCCAAAGACGTATAGATGTCGTCCGTGCGCCAACATGACGTGTCCGTACCGTCGAGCCGGCGCCGGTCCGGCACAACGGAGAAGATGTTCGGTGCACACACGGCTCCATCTGGTAGGTAATTAACACGTTCACAGTCTGTCATAAATCCAGAATCCATCCAGTTCAGAATGTCATCCGAGGCAACTATTATAAAAAAAAAACCTGCTATACTATCAAAGAAACGCGTGAGGCAGGTCTTGCTTGTAACCTTTTACAATTTTAGAAGAATGTACATACACTAATAAGGTATAAATTTAAATACACTGATGCGCCGCGATGCTCCGAGCTCGGTATTGTCAAAAATAGGGTGGTTTGCATTAATATGAGACATAAGTGTGCCTAATTCCAGCGTGATCATGGTCGAGTTTTGGTAATTTGACTAGCCAGAAAAAGTGTTTATTTAGTCGGTTCTAGTCGCAAAAAAACTAGATTTAGTCGGTCCGTCGTTCAAAAGTTATAAGATTGTTTTACTGTCCACGCTGGAATAAGCTTATTCCAGCGGCACCATTTCTCAATCTCGAGAACCACAACACCTAGCTTAGATCTGATTAAAACACTATTTTTTTTAGTCGTGATTTAGTCGGTTCTAGTCGTAAAAATAAACTAGATTTGGTAGTTACGCTGTTTTGAAGTTATTAAGGAGTTTTACTGTCCACGCTGAAATAAGCTTATTTCGGCGGCACCATTTTTGAGTCTTGAGAACCACAGCTCCTAGCTTAGATCTGATTGCACTCAGAAAAAGTTGTGAATTAGTCGGTTCTAATTGCGAAATTTTAGAATTAGTCGCCCCTCTGTTTAGAAGATATTGGATACATCTCAGCCATGGTCACTGGACCAAGGGACCTTGGTTTGTTTGAAAAAACATATATACGCAATTTAGATCCGAAAAAATTATCTAACTTCCAATCTTTATTTTTTTATGTATTTTAGGAACTTGGATGGATTAGTCTTGAGCAATCTATTTTTTTTATTAAGTTACTTACGTGAGTGATTCGAAGTCAAATTGGAACAGCGCGTTGGTGATCTTAGCGCCACTCTGGCCGCTGAAGACGTACATCTTGCCACGGGCAACAGCCACGGGAAAATTGCAGCTCGTTGGGGGGCATTGCCCTTTCTGTTCTACGCGCTCCCATTGGTGGTTTTCACCCTTTTCAAAATAAGAATTTGTTAAATTCAATTTGTTAATAGTGTGGTAAAACTTGAGTGAAGGAACATATAGGAGCATAGGAATTAAAACCAATAAGTCACATTTTGACTTGTTTCTCTTTTTTAAACCAAACCGTAGTTTTTATACGTTACTATGAATAATTTACCTAGCTTAAACAGGAACTGTTAACTCCACCTCAAAATTAAAATTAAAATAGGCTTTATTTGACATGCATAAATTTCAAACAAAAAATTAATAAAAATAAATTCAATTAAAATAAAAATAAAAAAGAAGCCTACAAAATAATAAACAAAATAAAAGCATGTCAAAAGGGTCCATGACTCAGCCTCTGAGGACTATGCTGATTACATAGCTCTCGCTGTTATTCTATCATGACCCGTCATAAATTGGAACACCACAATTCAAATAATAATATATATGTTACATGTTACGTACAAAACAAAAATCAGCAACAATTGGACGAAGTAAGTAATCAATTTGAATAATAAGTAATTTAAAAAGCATAATACCAAATATACACAAATACGTTTTAAACGCACGAAGTCATTCAATGGAATAGACGAAATTTATCGGATTTCCGAAGCTTCTAGTGAGTGACGTAATAATAATGAGTGAGATAAAGTGAGGTGCAAGCCTTATATCATTGGGGTAGGGTGTTATCACAAGCTACGGAACGATTAAATACTTACGGTCAAATTAACGGTCCACATGTCATTGAGGCGAGCGTTACCATCGTAGCCAGCGAATATCCACAACTTGTCGTCGTACACTGCGGCGCCGTGTGCTGAACGAGGAACTGGTTCTCTGAGAAAACACAGTTGAATAGCAATTCTAACGATTTAAGTTTTATTACTTAAATTCTAAGGAAAAAAATTTAAAATCGTGAAATAGGTTATCTAACTCATTATAGTGTACATACATTTTATGCAATTGTCAATGCATTTTTTTATGGTACTGATTACAAAAAACAGATTAACTATTGTATAAGTACACTATTATAATATAAATGCATGTTTATTAAAGTCATTGTCAAAAAATTTTTTGGTAATAGGCATTGACTTACAATTATATGGACGTCGGGTCCGCGCTAAAAAGTGTCCGCACTTGTAAGGCGCTAAAATCGTATACAGAGCGCCAAACTCCGCTTTAGTCTTCATTTGTTCGACTGACAGCGCGATAATGCGATGACATTACAATTTAAATTTCGAATAGGTTGACTTGGGACATTTTTTTCGTGGTTTTTGTATTAGACCCGTCGTCCATTTATTTGTAAGTCAATGGTAATAGGTAATAATTTACACTTGAAAACGTAACTTTTTAAGTTGTTGCTCGTTCACGATGCTGACTTTCCTGAGAAGAAGAAGAATGAACAAGAAACTCTAAAACGAAACTCTAAACTCTATTTAAAAAAACTTAAACGCTGTGGAATACACTTTGAATCATAATTGTGTGGAAGCTAAACTGTCGTCTTTCCACACAATTTTGTACTATGACTTTTCAATTTAAATACTTATGATGTAAGTTTTAAACTTAGAAAATGATAATCTTAATACTTGTTCCAGAATCGTATTGCAAAAACGTATACAGTTCCCCATAAAAGAATCGTTTACCTTAGTTAAACGAAATCGTTGTACCATGAGAAATTTTGGTTTATGGTATTTTGTTATTCCAATTTTTAAGCGTAGCACTTTCTGTTTGACCCATGACATATGAACAAATTTGTTGAAAAAAAAAAAACATTAGACATATATCCTGGAGCGCTAAGTCAATGAACAGAATACTAGACGGGTTGTGAGAAAACATTTGCTGCGATGAAATGGATTCATATCCTATATATAATCTTTACATATTATAAATACATAAAATCGCGAGCGAAAACTACGGTATATACAAGCAGACAGAATTACAAAACTATAAGAAGTTTGACTAACTACTTACTGTCCAGTGAATTTCCATTGCACCCACTGAGCACTGTGAAACTTGTACTCGAAGAGATCATTCTTATTGGTCAAGTTGGAGTTGGCCAGGATGTCCCCTGTGTAGCCGCCGAACACGAACATTGACGATCTGTACACCTATATAACAATTTTATACATTTAGTACAAGTGTTGGCAATATTACATAGGCTGCTTTTATCCAGTACCATAGAGCCGGTTATATTTTTGTAGTATGGCAACTCTGTATATCAATTCTACGGTTTGGATTCGCTCTGGGCCTTTTGGAGGGAAAAGTGTCATTTTTATTTTGACTTTCAATTATTTTGTGAAATCTAGTTTAAAGTGGAATAGGATAGTGCTATTGTGCCTTAATCGAAGATTAAAACGCGAAATTATACGAATCTCGAACTAAAATACCCGTATCGGCCCGTTCTAAGGAATCCCGAATCAATCCAAGCACGCCGCCTCAAATTGCCTATCCTCTTTGTGGTGGCCATATTTACAGAAATATAATTAAACGTTTATGTTTTCGGCTGAAGGACTTTGTTTCCATGGCCAGTAATAATTTAAAAAAAAATCTACTGTTTGGTATAAACGCACGCGATGGGTGTTTAAAATATAATTTTAATTATTATTTAACCGACTTCAAAAGGAGGAGGTTCTCAATTTAACTGTGTTTTTTGTGTGTGTTTGTTACGCGATTACTTCGACATTTGTGAACTGATTACGACGATTCTTTTTTTGTTGAAAATGGAGTTCTTCAGTAGAGGTCCGGTTCAAATTTTAAGAAGATATTTCACTTTTAAGGGTGGTACATTAGGGGATGAATCCAATTTATTGAACTTTAGACATTCTCCGTTAATCGATTTCAATAAAACTTGGCACATTGAAGTAGCTCCACTGATGGTGGTGACTTGATGGGAATGGCAGGCAGATATGAGGAACTCCTCACAGAGTACAGCAGCTACCTAGTGTTTGGGTTCATATTATTCGTTTTGACGAGGACTTCTATATTATACGTTATTGTTGAGGAAACAACGGTAACAGGCACAGTGAAAGTGGAGCTAACTTTTGAGATCAATTTTTTTTATACATATAAATGTTATAAATACTTATATTTTTCATTAAACTCAAATTTCATGCGTAATACGACAACAACTAACAGTAAATGTATCTATAAAGGCTATCAAATTAAATATTCAACAGATATAATACTAAAAATCTTGTAGTAAGTTGTTATGGCTATAATAACAACTTTTCTAATATAACCCTATAAGGGTTCATTTTAAACTTGTTACGATATGAATGACGCAAATACAAACCACGGCAGAATGGTGGTATCTCGGCGCAGGAGGTGTGCCCATGCAGCCAGTCTTAGTCCAGGACTTTTCTCTAATGTCAAACCGAATAAGATCGTTCAACATGGATTTGCCATTATCCCCCCCAAACACGTATATTGCATCTTTGTATGCTATCGCTGTGTGCTTGCTTCGTCTGAAAATAAAATATTTAGTAAATCCAGTGATAAACAAGATTTATCAGAACATCTATATCAAAACAATACATTATAAATAATGCATATTTCACATTAGTACAAAACACACAAACTAACAAAATGGAAAACAATAAAACATAATAGGCAGGCTTAATTTTTTCATCGGTCGGCTAGGTTTATCCTTAGGTTTACATACATAGTATCCGCTAGCAAGAATGATGTAAGTTACAATTTTGAGGAAATGATATTCACACAGGTCTATTCGGAATTCTAGTCTATGTTGTGATGTAAATATGTTTAGGTAATATTGAATATTAATATTAATAACTTATAACCAGGGCCCCTAGTTTGCACATTTTAAATTCTCTAAGTTGTGTACACAGTATCAATGACAGGATTTTGTATGTTTGGTATTTTGCTAAAAGTTACGAGTAGTAGCTTGTTAGTGCCTAGTCATTGAGCTACTATTCACTGCCATTGCATTTTTTTGGTACTCTGCTCTTCAATGGCGACACGTCGATGTTGTATTATAGTCTATAAATTATTTCAAATTCATTTATTCATATCAGACAACATAGTCCATAATTACACTAATACATAGAATTACATCACATTACTAATTATATATTACATATTGGTTACATTAATTATATTTTAAGTTACGTCAATGCGATTTTAAATAATGCCCAAATAAATAAAATTAATTCAAGTAATCAAAATTAAAAATTAAATTACCTTGAATTCATTTGACATAAAAAATACATACTTATTTTTAAAACATCAAGTAACGGGACGAACAAGTTATGGCAAAGTCATAAGGTAGACGCCTGTCCATGACAATAACAGTGCCACTTAGAGCTTTAAATTGCAAAGATCTGAGGGGTACTGCCACTGCGTCCGTCACCCTGAGACGTAAGTTGACAAGTCCCATGTGCCTGTAATTTTACCAGCGCCCTTACCCTTCAAAACCGGAACACAGTAATGCTGACATTACTGCTTGGCGGCAGAAATAGGTAAGGTGGCAGTATTACCCTGGACGAACTTTTTCACAAGGAGCTCTACTGCTACTTAAAATTATATTTAATTTGAAGATTAAATGGCTGCTTAAACGTGATAAAAATTAAGATGTACAGTCATATACACAAGATACCTGACCCCCCCAAGTCGATTTTGTCGACCTTTCAATTTCAAAGTTCAATACTCTCAGAACCAAAAGGCCGGTTTGGGCATGTTAGGGGGTCAGTTATCTCATGTATGTGATTTACGTAGTAATTTCCATGGTAGTTGTAGTAAGGAAGTTTATTGCAATGTAATTTCTGTGGAATCTCAGTGGAATTACAATGATCCGTGGTTTCAAGAAAAATAGTAGACTTGGGGCAAAGTCCATTAGTGTAATAAGGGGGTTTGGTGTGATATGAAACTTCTTAAAAAGTACTTATTAGTGGTCGGATTTAAAAACTTACACAAATATCTTTTTTTTAGTGGGAAATCCTCCACGGTGTCCTTCTCGGGTGCTCTAGTGAGAAGGATCCGGGATCGACTTTGCACCTATATACATCGAGAACCTAGGAGGAGCTACGTCCCCCCTTTCCCCTCATCACGACAAAGCGGGTCACACCGCCCCGTCGTCCTCCTCGCGGTTGCCAAACTTACTGGCGAACGGAGCCTCCGCTCCTATCGCCTGTAGCCGCCAAGGTACGCCGCCGCCGAGCGGGATCGGCCCTCTCCCGTTCAAATCTCCCGATCTCCTTCTGTGAAGCATCACCGCTTCACAGAAGGAGACCACTGCCTCATAGAACTCTTGATCCGCCAACATAGCCGCTACGACATAAATACCTAACCCAAGTGCCCAGAGTAATTTGAAATGCATATAGAAATTAAACTATATGACTGAGTGACCCGAGGTGCTTGCCAACTATGGGGGTTCTATCCCAACCCAACCTTGTACACTTAAACCTTATACACATATATGTAACACACAAAATGCTTAACCACAGGTCGACCAAATATGTAAATTTGAAACAAAGTTCATGTAAAAATATTCTTACCTTGCCCCAACAAATTCATAACACTCGGACATACGTTTCCATTTGTGTACGGTCTCGAACGGACCGAACTCCATTCGGAGGCTGATGTCCAGCTCATTTGGATTGCGTAGCTGCTCCGATATCAGCTTCGCAATGTTTTGCATTCTTGCGTTTTGCCCTGGAATAAAATAAATAGGATTGATTATTAGGGAATAGTAAGTAGGGATGAATAGCAACTTTTGAATTCAATACACATTTAAAAACAAACATAATACACAAGAACAATGTAATACAATTAATTGGCCAGAATACAGTAATTATACACAGATTTTGCATCAAATCACTAACAGTCAAAAAGCACGCGGGCATTTTGCACTTATTGTAAGTAGTAAAGAATCGAATTTAAAACTTACGAGTTAAGTCCAGATTACATATAGGCAGGAGAATTAGTTTAACCATTATAATTAAAAACAAAAAAACAGTCATTTCATCAGGAATCTAGTGGTTGTAGTGACAACGCAATTTCCTGCGTAAAAAGTTCTCGAGGCAAAGTGCGAAGTCGACTATCGAGTCGTTGCTTTCATCGGACCTTCTGCTCACATGTTTATGTTATTCGCTGCGAAACGACAGACGCCCGGCAAAGAATATACATACACATTTGGACAGGCTACATAAATGTTTGATGTAAAATTCGACGCATTTCAAGAAACAGACCTTGACGATGTGGGGATCAATAGGGCTGGTAAGCATTACTCCGCTTTTATTACGAAGTTCTTTCGACGTGTCGACTTTTTCATCACGCCGTCTGCTCAGATATATTCTCAACCGGCGAAAGGTAAAAC